TTAGTTACCCCCACCCCTACGTTTAAAATCGTTTCAAACTAAATTATCTTCCCCTAATAGTCGTCACTAATACCGGCTCTGCTTGTAAACATTTAGCGTGAACCACAGCTCACCAGACCATGTAGGAGTGGGGGTGGTAGGGAGCGCGCTTACAGCTTGTTTTCTAGCGTCTCCCAGAAGAGAATTATATATATATATATATAGATAGATATTCGAGAAAGTTTAGGGGAGATCACTCCCGGTTTATTTTTTTGCACGATTACAATTCTTCCTCTTTACTTCGTGCACGAGAAAGAAAAAAAGATGTAAGGTTACTGGTAATTAACTAAATAACAACATGTCTTGCTAAAGGAATTAATTGCTAATCCTTAACCCAACCGATGTCCCAACATAGCCTTAATCCCTAATTTCTAACCATAACACTCAACTTGAGTTTACAATATTACTATAAGCTAACACACCGTTTTTCATTAGTCAGACATCGGTCAAACAAATAATCTAATCGTTAACCAAAAACTTATCATCACCTAGGGCAGGGGTCTCCAAACTACGGCCCGCGGGCCGGATGCGGCCCGCGATGTCCTCTCATCTGGCCCGCGGAGATCTTTTTGTCCACGGAAAAAAAATGTTTGTTGGTGATGGCTGAGGAACTTTGCCCAGAAAAATCAAAGACATGCCTGAAAGAAACTGGCCCCAGAACTGAAATTTGATAGTTAATGCGGCCCTCGGACTGAAAAGTTTGGAGACCCCTGACCTAGGGAATAGCGATCTGCCAAAAGTTTTCCTATAGTTATGGTCACTGTTGCGAAGCAAACAATCTTCCGTTTCGTTGAGTCCAATAGAATCGTCGCCCCTTGAACACTGCACCACGCCCTGCGCAAAACGATTGCGCGCGTATGTCTAACAGGAAAACAGTGTAGGCCGCTCATTGATCAATATAAAAGGCCGAAAACTTTCAACCGAAGACAGGAATTTGTGAAGACTACGAGAATGTTTCAACCCACATATAAATGTGTTTTCTTGCTGTTTTGTTTCCTTGGTAAGTACATTTATAGATCTTTAAATCTGCATGCATGTGGTAGATGATCTAAATATACTTACCTAAAATAATGGATATGCATATGTTATGTGAAATAGGCAAGTTAAATCTATCTTCGAATATGAACTTGTGTATTAATGATAGCGATAAAGAAGTGAGACATAATATGGTGCCATATAGAGACATTTCTTAAGCCTTCATTAAAGTAGTCAAGTTGAGAGAAGAGATTTATCAAATCTGAACCTAAAAATGTCTACCATAAATTATAGAAAATGGGATCATATTGAGATGTCTGATGATGAAGATGATACCCATCCAAATATCGACACACCCAGTTTATTCAGATGGCGTCATCAAGCAAGAGTTGAAAGAATGGAGGAGCAAAAAAAAAAAAAGAAGAAAGAGAAGTTTGAGCAAGATAAACAGTTATCAACAAAGAATAGCAGAGATGAAAAGGAAAGTAAAAGAGGCTAAAGAGTCTGCATCATCTGAATTTCAAAAGCTCAAGAATGAACTTTCAGAACTAGAGGAACAAGAAGAAGAATATAGGAAGATGGAAGAGGAACTCAAAAAAGAAGAAAAATTGACACCTTTGAATATTGACACCATTTGTAAAGAAGCAAAATCTAAAACACTGATAAATAAAGCAGCACCACCACCGAAAGAACTTTCAGCAGAAGAAAAAATTAGCAAGCAGCAAGACTTTACTAAAAAAATATAAGAGTGAAATCCGCAAGTATGGCATGCTTCAGAAGTGGGATGACAGCAAGCAGTATCTAACAGAACACAACTATATTGAGTGTGAGGAGACTGCCAACTATCTTGTTATCTGGTGTATTGATCTAGAGGTGGAAGAGAAACATGATCTCATGAAACATGTTAGTCATCAATGCAGTGTCATGCAATTTATTTTGGAACTGGCCAAAAGTCTAAAGACTGATCCTCGCAGTTGTGTCGGGGCTTTTATCTCCAGAATTAAACTTAGAGAAAAACAGTACACTGATGCTTTTAATGATGAGCTTGAAGCTTTCATATCAAGCATTCAGGAGAGGGCTAGAATAAGGATTGAAGAAGCCATGAAAGAATATGAAGAGGAAGAGCTTAAAAAACGTTTAGTTCCTGGAGGCTTAGATCCTGAAGAAGTGATGCAATCACTTCCAGAAAAACTGCGGGCTTGCTTTGAGGCTCAAGACATAGCATTTTTGCAAAAGACAGTAGCAGAAAGGCCTCAAGAGGAAGCAGCATACCACATAAAGCGCTGCATTGGCTCAGGCCTATGGGTCCCTGGGGGAGATGACAAAGAAGAGGCTAGTGGAGTACAAGAATCCAAGGAAGAGGAAGTTTATGAAAAAGTTGATTGATAGTCCCTTCTGAAAATTATGTTTTATTATTACAGAAATAGATATACAATTCGTATATTTCTAAACTGTGTAACTTCTGGTTATAACTTGTTTTTTTTTATCCATCAATAGGAAGTAATTTGTTAACAAATAACTTTTTTATTATTGTTTTATAAAACTGTTCAACTGAATTTTTATTAAATTTTGTGTTGCTGCTAAATAAAAAAGTCATATTGGTCATTGGGAATTAAAACTATAGCCATTGCTATTGAGCTATTTTAAATTTATATTTGAATAAGCTAATGTTGTTTATCAGTTCAGTATTTCAGTTGCATAATCATATATTGTTCTATCATTTTAATTATTAACACAGGCTGTATTAATTACCACAATGCACTAAAAGTAAACAGGTTTAGTAGTGTTTACTAAAAAAACGTAAACCTATTTAAAGATTTATTTACATAGCAGAATAAAACCATAGTGATTAGTGTTCACTTTTCTGGTACCAGTTGTGAAATGTACTTAAAAACTTTTGAATATTTAGTTACAAAAGCATTGATGGGCAACTGCAATTCTGTAATTGTTTTTATAACTGTCTTTTATCGAATTGCATAGTGTACAATTTTAAGGTGTAATTTCTCATCAATCTAACTTTTAATGAGTTTAATTTTATTTTGTAAATAATGGCACATTACATGTACTATTGAATTGACCAATAGTTTACAATAACAAAAATTGTAAAAGACTAAAAAAAAAATAGCCAGCCTGTGATAGCAGACTGTAGCTTCAAGCATGTGTCTCTTCCCATTATGTTTTATTTTTTTTCTCCCACGTTTCATCACCCTGGACGAAAAGGTTGCTTATAAATGGAGGGGGGTGGGGTGATTTCAAATCACATAACTACTACATCGAGTCCGTGATTATCACGTTAAATTCATATTGGTAAGCTACCGTTAGACAATGCCTTCTCCCATAGGAAGAACAAACAGAGTAAACATAACGGGTAGAATTGATGTTAAAACTTTATTTATTGTGTATTGGGTTAGTTTTGCCAGATTTATTAGTGTAAAGTGTATCTACCATCTCCCTTCTTGTAATAGACAGATTTGTGAGTTCATTTACGAAATTGAAAACACAATTTTAAAACATTTTAAAAACATTTTTCCTGTTTCGTGAGAAAATAAACCGGGAGTAATCTCCCGTAAACTTTCTCGAATATTCTTATATAAAACTACGAGGGATGGCAACATGATTTTTAATTCATTTTTTAAATTACTTAAATTTATTATAATAGAATAGAATCTCGTAGAAAAAGAATTGCGCACGAAAAAAATCTGTGTATATTAGTGCGGAATATTATTAGTACTTTATAAATTCACATGTGTTTTTGAGAAATTGGAAATATCGTAAAATACTACTTCCGTTCAACGGAAATTACTTAAAACTCGACAGAAGGCACATAATTAGATCTTTTACCTATATTTTTGAAGTTTCATTTGTCTATCTGAAACAATTTATAGGTTTTTGAAAAATTTAAAGTAGAATAAGTGCCACTTTCGGTTATCGGAAATCGCTGAAAAGTTTATACAGAACTAACTAAAGGCCACCCATAATGCCACCCAAACTAACCAAATGCCACCCAGACTAAAGTAATGCGACCCAGACTAACTTAAGCCATCCATAATGAAATCCCAACCAACCAAATGCCAGCCAGACTAAAGTAATGCGACCCAGACTAACTTAAGCCATCCATAATGAAATCCCAACTAACCAAATGCGAGCCAGACTAAATTAAGGTCAACTATAATGATACCCAAGTCTGGGTGGCATTATGGGTGGCCTTATATTATGCTGTGTAGCATTATGTTTGTTGGGGTGTCATTATGGGTGGCGTTAATTTAGTCTGGTGGCATTTGGTTAGTTGGGGTGTCCTTATAGGTGGCCTTAAGTTAGTTTGGTTGGTGTTAGGTTAGCTTGGTTGTCCTTATAGTTTGCCTTTAGGTATTCTGGTCTGTATTAGTTTAGTTGGGGTTGTAGTAAGTCTTGATGGCTTCATTTTAAAAACGTTTGTTTTTCTGGAAATTTTCTCTGCCGAAATAGAAACATGCAATGGGTTGGGGAGAGTTAGTTAGGGTGCAGATTTATGTCCATTCTTATATGTACAGTTTCAGGTTGATTCCAGACAAAAAGGAGAGAGCCGTAGCTCAGGTTCACGAAAATTATACAAAACGAGTGAATAACAACGAAGTTAAAAGATATTTAATCTAAATTTATTGTTTGGTAAATGTTTGGGGATTTTTTTTTTAAAGTATGTGTGCTCATAAAATATATTAATTATATATATATATATATATATATATATATATATATATATATATATATATATATTTATATATATATATATATATATATATATATATATATATATATTTATATATATATATATATATATATATATATATATATATATATATATATATATATATATATATATATATATATATTTCAATCATTTAACAAAAAATAAATTCCAAGAGTTCTGTTTCTCAATCTTTGCAGAATGTACAGCTTTAGCCTACGGCGTCCAGTGCTCTAAACATGAAGACTGTACAATCGTATCTAAAATATGCACTGCGAATAAAATCTGCGAATGCAAACCTGGTTTTATCCCTATTAAAACCGGATGCGGCAGTAAGTAAAACAATCATTGAAAAAAGGTTATAGGTTCGTATCCTGCGTGTCAAGTTTGAAACGAATAGGTTCGGTAGAAAAAGTTGGAGTTTGCTCCCCAAATTTTGACCTAGCAAGAAGTCAAAATAACAAGGAAACGTTAAGTTGAGGCTTGTAAATTGTAAAAATGCTATAGATCTATATTTTAATGGACTATTATTTCTTGATGCAAGGGGAGAGAACTGCTATAAAATAATATAGTATTATGACAAGACAAGATTACATTTTCTTTATCATACATTCAATATAATGTTAATTAAACGTCCATGTTCATTATGAAATTAGATATTCAACAATATTTGCTCTTTGTTATTTATATCAATTTAATCCCATTAGCTAAATATAGCTCTTGGCTCGCCAAGCCTTGACTCCAAATCAATGTAAACAAAAATCTAATATTATATAAATACGCATATTGACAAATTGTTGCTTCTTTTGTCTATTTTATTTCTTTCTTTTATGTACAAACAGAGAAACTAGAAACACCCATGGTATCTCAGGAGACAGGTAGAACAACCGACTTAATCAACGGTTCAACTGGCGTCTTAACTTGTGACACAGTCTCAGGTACCGCATCATGGTATCTCGGCGACGTACTGCTGTCGGCCACTACCCCGAGTATACACATAAAGAAAGCTGGAGTTTACAAGTAATTTCTTGCTAAGTTATCAAAGAACGAGTTCTTAACAAACCTTGACATTTTTATATTCAGGGTAACAAAAAGCATACTCTGTTAATTAAATGTTATAGTAATGCAACTTAAATTGACTTAAATATTTTATAATGCTTATACATATTTTTGTATGTTTTAGGCTTATTTTAACGTCATTTACTGGTACATATAAAAAAATGAACAGATCGATAATGAGATACAGCAAACGTGTAATCTACCACTAATTAAATTTAGAAAATAGACGCTTCTCATAAAATTATAACATATTCTATACATAGTAAATATAAGTCCACAACACATAATTTTATTTTGAATATTTCCACCCAGATGTCAAGCCCTATCAAACACCGTGAGCTTACACTCGGATAATAGTTCTGCGTTAACCATCACTGCTGTTGAAGGAAACACATGTATGTATTAACAATACGGTAAACGAAATTGTATGGATTCGCAGATGTTATACATTAACAAATAAAGATGGTTGTACAAAGTTCACCGTTTCCTCGCCTACCTATACCTACATCGGTATACATTTGGGAAGATGAAATTAAAAAAAATAACGGTTTAATACGATTATTCTCTAATACAGCTTAGGTATGAAAAAAGCGTCGTCCTTCCCATGCATGATGAACCCAATGTTTTCCCGGACGTTCGCGCCTAGTGAGAGTCCTCCCTACCCTCGAACACAATATCCAACTCTTAAAGCAAAGACGAAATGGCTATACCGATGCCGTATGTTATCATTTTATTTCCAGATTCAAAGAAACAGACACTGAAAATAGAACCTGAAGGCACAACAATTTACCCTGGAAGAAATGTAGTTCTTACTTGCTCTGATGCACCGATGGGTTTTGCTGGGAAAACCACTTTTCTGGTATGTTAGATTTGTTTTTATAAGTGGAAAATGGCCATATGTATATTAGTAGCGTGCCCGTCCCCGAGTGTTGCCGCGAGGTTAGAAGAAAGTCTGACGAAACATTCTATGAGGGTTTCATCAATGCGTTACCAATCCTATATTTTTAGACATGTGATCTTGTTTTCTAAGCCAGAGTTTTTAAAATGTAAACAACGCCTGCACTATATTTCTTGGATCATATTTGTCGGGCACGGGTTTACAATCGCCCAGCGCGCATCAGAAAGCCTTGAGTATAAAGTAATCACTCTCCGTAATAGTGAGGTAGAACACACTTCATCCATCGCCCAGGTGTCAGTAACGTAGAGAGGCGCTATCGTGGGCCCCCAATTATATTACCGCAGTGGCGCCGCGTACGGCCCCTTGATCGGTTCAATCAGCGAATGTTGTGTGCCGCTTTTTCAATACTGTAGGGTGCTTCTTAAAAACTAACGTAGGTGCCATAGTTCATTGCACTTTTATGGGGGGTTTTGTCCAGGGGGTTCGTGTTGCGGGGGGTTTATGTCCAAGGGGTTTATCTCGGGGGGTTTATGTTCAGGTGTTTTTTGACCGGGAGCCAGTTGCATGACTAAAAAGTATTGCACACCAAATGAACATGATCTATGCGCGTAATTAGTTCATAAAAAATAATCTAATTAAGTCAAATTTAATGTCTTCAAGTCTTGACCCACGTGCCAACCTTGAAACGAATTTGTCAGTTAGAAGTGCCCGAAATATCGCTCGCCCGTTTCGGTCTATGACGACAGACTTTCGACTGACAACAGAGGAAGCAAGTTCAATAAAAGCTTGTTCAAACACAGTTTTATTAACCAGTGTGTATTAGTTGACAAAAAGTATTGAAAAATAACAATGCAGTGCTCGTTGATCAATTTACAGTGACACTAAAAAATAGGAACCACTTTGTAAAGAAACTTCTTTAGGAAGGTATTATTATATTTTTAAGAGAGTAAAAACTGTCTTAGATTTTTTATATTAAACAAATAGGTTGATTCCAAACCTGTAGCTGAGAGCACTAAATCGATGACTACTCAAATCTCTATGAACAGCACTTATAGTGGGAAGAAAATATCCTGCAGACTGGAACCGTTCGAGCAGATTACATTCATAGATTCAGATGACATGGGGACCTTACCAACAGAAGATGCCAGTGTGTGCATGTATTTTTATTAAATATTTGTTATTATTTGTAAAACTTTTATTACTTTATCTATTTCTCGCATCTATTCATTTCCAAAGTCAAGTAACGAAATTTTACATTTTCTTTTTAAAAGAAAAAAGTTTAAACTTTAAACAAATTAGTATGTTTTTTTCTTGTACTACAAAGGCTGCAAATATGTTAATAATTTAATTTAATTGACTTTGTTAAAATATTTAAACTAGATATCAAAGTCACCTCAGTGAAAGCGATTGTAACTGATGCAAATGATGAAGAGCTTAAAACAGACACAACTTACAATATTGGAGCAGTAGGACCAACCATCACCTGCCAGACCACCCCAGCACCAGAATCTCTGGACCCTGTAATGCCAATAATATACGAATTTTTAGAAGTGGTTAGTGTTTTTCCAACTTCACGTTACACGTCGGGTTTGTAAATGAATATTGCAAACCTTGTTACTAAACTTTTACCCAGTCTTAATGCAACATTTCAAAATAAAGTAAAAAATAAATTCGTTAATAAAAAGTAGAGATTAAAGAGTAATTACTTACAATCGCTCAACCTGCTATCATACGAAGGCAAACTGTTTCGTTACTGATAGTTGGTTTCTTGCCTGACTAAGATATTGCGAGTTACTATCGGGCTTCAAAGCGAAAATTTTAAGTAGTATGTGGCTAGGCTGGAAAGACGGTGTCCAAGCTTCCGGGGAAATAAATTAGAATCGGCCCGTTCCCAAATCAAAATTTTCATAATGCTTTTTTCCCCCTATTAAAGCCCGAGGGCATGCCTACAAAGTCCCGAGTCACTTTATAAATTGCATGAAACAATAATTTAAAAAAGGACAAATCTGAAGGGTTATTAAATTAAGACACATTACATCACTGATTTTGGCGGCCCACCGAGAATTTTTCTTGGTGGCCCACCGGGATTTTTCAAGGTGTCCTGGTGACAAAGACCATCTCTGTTATGTGGTGTCTACGTCTTTACAAATGAATTACTCAAAAATTGAAAATAAAACAAATATAAGAAACTTTGTAAAAGTAAGCTTTTGTTTGCACAAAAATTAAAAAAAAATATTATACAAACTTGCTTTCTTTAATAAAAGCTCTGGTCGCTCATGAAATCTCTTATTTTTTTTAGTGACCGTTGCTTTTATTAAAGACAAAAAAATTATTTTATTTTAAAAAAATATTCATTGCATTAGAAGCTTAAGGTTTTAAAAAAATTGTTTTAGTACTTTGATTTCAAATGGTGGAACAGATTTTTAAAATAATAAATACATATTTTTTTTCTAGTTATGGATTTATCAATGTCCAAAGTATAAAATTTCATTTGTTTAATTATCAAAACATTTCTATAATTTCAGTTTAGTAGTAAGGTGAAACAAAACGGTACCTCAAAGACATATAAAGTGCCTACAACTGAAGCAAGTAGCTCAGTTTATGAATGCTCAGCCGCGTATAAAGAATATACTGCAGTAAAGTCAGCATTGACCATACAAGTAACTGTCAGTGAGTTGGTTTATATTTTAGATGTTAGTACGTTTTTATTACGGAAAGTAAAAAATGAATAATAAACGTAGGTCCCACAGATTACAAATTAAAATAATATTAACAAGTCTCAGTGTGTTTAGACTTAAATTCCCGATACCAGTCCGTATATTTCTAAAGTTTTAAAATGTAGTATTTTGCTAGCTAATATATGTTTTATACTTGTTTTACGTAAAAAAATTAAAATAAGAGGGTTGAACTACACAAAGATTTACGTTTCCCATAGTATTTCAGTAAACTGAATGAGTACATTTTAAAATTTTAAAATGTGAATTCTCAATGCACAAGGAAAGTTTAAAATCTTGTATGACATTTAGTTGCAGAGTCGTAGGGTTTGAATTTTAGGTCAAAATGCGAATTTGAGAAAAAGTGAAATGAAGGGTGGAAAAGAGCACTGCGTGGTTTCTTATTTAGAACAAAACATTAAAAGACCACTTGTTTTGTATGGAAAAGCAATTGACTAGTATGTGCATTTAGATATCTGTTGTAAGTTTTCGATTGATATATTTTTGTATTTCAGCGGAAAGTTTGTATACGAGAGATAATGAAGTAGAGCCGATTAAACAACTATAAACAATACACGCTCGAAGAGAGCCGCTTTCTGCGTTATTGTATAAACATTTGATAGTGGGGGGAGAGGGTACCATGTTTTACATCGAAATTTTTTTGGTACATAGCTAAATGATGCTAATGCTGAATTAAGAAATAAATTGATAGAAAAAAAGTGAGTTTTATCTAAAAAAAAATTGTCTTTTTGTTTTAAATGTTTTAAATTTAAAATTAATCATAAGTTAACCTGTAATATGCATAAATCAAATAAAGAATTCACCAATTTGCTGAAGAATTTGACTGGGTTCCAAAAAATTTAGCTCCCTAATGTTATCCCTACTCTACCAAATTATTTTAAAGTAAAAACTATCTCTGTGTTATTTTAGCGTGGTTTGTTTCTTCATATACTTTTTTATTTCTTTTCCACTGATTGAATTATTGGTCTCTTCACTACAAACTACCTGTGTTATTGAGAATGGGCGGTCTCTTATTTCACCGTATCCAGTAATATATCTTGAAGGCAGTTGTTCTACACATAATATATCCTATTAATCTACTTTTTTTTACAACCAATAAAAAACGGTTGTATATTTCTCCAGCTAGTTGCTTTTACAGTGCATTATCTACTAAAACAAAGCAGGTAGCAAATCCTCATGAGTTCATAGCGTCCCCAGTAATACAGTAAAACGGCCAGAATGAGCTGTCGCTGTCCTAATCTACTATTAATTCGGTCACATGTACACTCAATCAACATTGACTTATTTATGCTATTAGACATGGGGCTTTTAGACGATTAATCTTTTTCTGTATTTATGTGCATTAGAACAATTGTTTTATTACAGATCCTAGCTACCTGACGGCCCCTGTTTTAATAAAGGCTAGTCTTCCTGCCATAAGTATAGGTTCAACCTTAATTTTATCATGTGGCGGATCAGTAGATAATACACTTACCTACACATGGTTTTTTAACAACAAGTTCATCGACGGACAAGCAGACTGGAAGATCCAATTATACAATTTCACAGTAGCTGACATTGGAGAATACAAATGTCAAGCTTCAAAGAACCGGTATACGACGGCTAATTCGTCTTTTCATGCTAGTAAGTTTATGTGTCTTATCGTACCTTTTATTCTCATGTAAATAGTGCCGTCTTATTCATGCATATTTGTTTTCTATGTAAAAGTTTAGATTCAAACTAGTAAGCATCCTCTTCATTTTGCATGTTATAATTTATTTTATTGCTAAAATGTATTTGAAGTGTATTGATGCTTTATATATATATATATATATATATATATATATATATATATATATATATATATATATATATATATATGAATATCTATTTTCGCAAATTTATCTATCTACTAATATTTACATATAATCATATTTCGTCGGGACTTCCACATATTTATTTCTTTGTCCGAGTTTTCCAGATCAGAAAATCTGCAATATGCATAGAATTATAAGATCAGTAGAGGGTAAGCGGGTAATTCGCACACCAGTATATTGACAGAAAAACTAAGCTATAGTCAGCGTAGGTCAGAAAAGCCACTAAGAGATTATGACTTGAAATGTAAGACCATACTAATGTATATGGTTTAGTCTACCGCTAATTTAATGCGGTTGTCTTTATTTGATGAAGCTGAAAGAGTTAAACAAATTTTTGCCAACAATTATTAAGTTTAGTGATGTTTATGTAGCTAGCGGTTTTTTTTCTTCGTGAAGTCTTTACTATATCAGACCCTAACTTCATTTTGACCACAATTTCCATCTCCGTAGTACTGAAGTGTTTAGGAGATCTTCAGTCCTTGTAATTGTACGTCTTCTGAACAGACATATCTTTAGGGAGTGGGAGAGGGGGGGGGGGCTCTGCTCCCCATCACAGCACGTCAACCGTCTCATCCCCCAAACAAATTAGGAAATATATATATACCTAGATAAATGACCCGTTGAGGGAGAAATGCAACTGGTGTAAGGTTAATAATTTTGTCTTTTTCTCTAAACCAAAACCAAAACTATCCCATCAAGTATTTTCATTAGTTGCTAGTAAACCCTACACCGAGCGATGGGCTTACACACTAACACATGTGTCGTTTACAGTCCGTTGTAGAGTCTGATGAAAGCTTTCAAACCTATCACAGCCTGATGTAATACGATTAAAACCGGCCGCTGGTTGATTAGCTAGAAGGGGGAAAAGGGGATGGACTTGGTACATTCTTCAAACTGACAGACATGTCCATGACACATTGCTTCAGCTTAGTATAAAACGTACTTAACAGCGCTTAGTAGTGTTCCAATGACAACCAACAGTACATTTCTTGGCAAAGTTTCAAATACTAACCTAAATGTTGTTGTATAATTTTAAAACAACAAATAGAATAGTATATGCATGTTAACAAACGAGACATGCGATTGTTTTGTTTATCTAGAAACAAGATGGCTATATAGCCCACGTGGTTAGTTGCAACCTATCGTGATTTATTTTGATTTACTGTACTCTAATATGCAGAGTTTCTTCCAGGCATCTTCCCCTCCCCCCCCCCCCCCCCCCCCCCGGAGAAAAAAAGTCTGGAAGAAACACTGCTAATATGATTGGTCAAGCGTATCAATGAATCTTTTCCCATTCATTATTTTTACGAGTATGTCCTTATATGGAGTCTGACATCAAATTTTACAGTGTAGAAAACAACGTTTATTCCACTTATTTGTAGAACAAAGAAAAAAGTCACTAAACCAGTGGGTACACGAGCGCTTGGCAGATAGAATGATGTATAGTTTATGATGCCTCGCGGGGAATAAAAGATGTAATACCCGCTCGAAGATAGCCGTTGTCTGCGTAGTACGGTAAAAATTTGCCCGGGGGGGGGGTACCATGTATCACATCGCAATTAAAGGAATTTATGAAGCGAACCTAGCTTTCATTCATAGTTATAGCTATAGTAGTTCATTATTAAATATAAAAAAAAACCCCATCAATTTTCTCCTTTTGTTCTCCAGTTTCCAGAAACTGTCGACAGCACTGCTAACACAAAAAAATATTCCAATATGCCCACCTCACCCTTATATTCTTTTTACACCAAATGAATCCCTGTTATTAGATCCGAACTCCAAACGGAGTACTGTCTCTATTTTTGTTTAAGTCAAACATGGCATGCAAAACAAATACGACAGAATTGCCGATTCAAAACAATAATGCACTATAATGCTTTATTTCAATTAGGCTATAACTTTTATCGATATATTCATCTGTCATTTCTATAGAGAACCAACAATTTTATGAAATTTTACAATAAGAGTTACATTTTGAAAAATTAAAGCCGTTTGGGAACTATCGATTACACTTTTTTATATTTTATATTGAATATAAGCCGTTGAAAGCAGTTAAGAATTATTTTATCAACTCAAATATTTTTAAAAAGCTCCCCTCAACCTCTTCCATAAAGTCAACAGGACTGGCCAGTGAAAGTATATCAATGTTAGACAGAACAATTGTTTCCCATGATAAAATACGTAATAGCGGTCTACTAATCCAAATTAAAAATAACAGTGTTTGCTAAAGTACTATTATATTACAAATAATAGATTATTTGTTTGAATATTGATAACCTTAAAAAAACCGGAAATCAGTTTGTATTTAACATATTTTTCAAAATAATCAATTTTGGTAGAAAAATATGCTTTCTGGCAACAACCATTTGGAACAATTAGGAACCAGCTTTTCAAGCCTATTTCGGACAAAAAATAATAAAAATAGTTTTAAAAATCAACAAAACAATTGAATGACTCATTTATAAACAGTATTTTCTTCGGTTTTGAATCTATTTTGTGATTTAATATAGTGTTTTGAATACTATCAACGCATGTATTTTAGCCTTTTTATATTGTTATAGTTATACTGATATTAGAACTAGTGTGTGTGGATGCTAATGCTAAACCAACCTCTACTTCCACAAGTGTTTACTTCAGGACTCACCTCCATTCCTACGTGGACGTCATCACTCGATGACCAAGAGGCGTAGCGAGGGGGGGGAGGGGTCGGGTGGGGGTACATATGTCCCAGGGCGCCGACCTTAGGGGGCGCCAAATGGGTTGGAAAAACAAATTATAAATAGTTTGAGGGGGGGTGCAAATCGAAAGTTTGAAGGGGGGGGGGGGTGCAAATTAAAACTTTGCTCCCGAGGGGGGTGCCAAATTGGAAGTTTGTCCCCAGGCGCCGGGAAGGGTCGCTACGCCTCTGCGATGACCCAGGGAGTGGCATGATATTCGGTGTGAAATGACGAATTCATTTGGTGTGAAGATATGAGTTAGGGTTAGGTTTGAAGTATAGAGATAGTTAAATCTAGTTAAACAGTGTCTTTGAAGGTGTAATATTATTAAAAAATCAAATTATTTAGTTAAAGTATTAATATATTATGTAGAAGATTAAGCGTATTTCGTGAAAAATCACTTTTATTGCAATAAAATTTATATTTATTGGACGTTTAAAAAAATCAATATTTATAAAAATATTGATTTAAAAAATCTATTGCCATTCCTTCATTCACATCGCAACAGCTAAGCCATATTAAAAAGTTAGAAACATTTGAAGACTAAATATTATGGGCTAATGATGTAACTATATTTGATATAATGATTTATTTTCATGAAATTACAAATATATTTAGCACAGTTTCTATAAAAGTGATTTTTATAACTCCCAACAGTTATGAAACCCACTGTCACCCGTGTTACTCCTGGAATCATCTATCGTGCAGGCTGTGATTACGAACTGAAATGTAACACTGGCTCAAGTTTGACAGACGGTTGGAGCTACTCATGGACAAAGTAAGAATTTTCATAATGATAAAAATAAAAGAACATCATATTTGTGTGCCTCCTTCAACTAATTCCATTATGGAGGTAAAGCAATTTTACATATGTTCGTAACATATCATAAAAACCTTACCCAAACTCTAAACTTGCATAGGTTGCAAATGCAAATTATTTTAAAGTAACTAAACTTTTAAAAATTGTATGCCCTGTTCTGAATGTATAGTATATCAGATCTTAAACACATCGTCTAACTTAGCGTTAATTGTCAAAACTCCTCCCTTAACTTCTTTACATTAGTGTGGAGTGTATATACAGGTGTAACTTCAATTTAACATTCATCGTTACTAAATATTTAAAATATAATTCCTTCCAGCGAGAATAAAGAGACATTAAGGAATTAAGAATTAGTATTTCACAAGTGAATGCCGCATAGCAATATATGCAAACAATGACGATACGAGAACAGTGCATGCGTTGAGCCATTGAGCGAACTGATTTCAATGCAATTTTTCAAATAATATCTATGAAACAAAGTCTAAACATGTATTTTTCTATTGTCCATTTAAACTATAAGCAATCCTAGTTTCTTTTACTTTTCTTTTTAGAGATGATGCCGTCACTCTGATTGAAACCGACACATACACAATAACAAAAGCAGCTGCAGTAACAAATGATGGGAAATATACATGCACTTCTACATACAATGGCGCGTTCAGCCACAGCGATCCGTTTATAATTGCCATCACAGGTTAGTCATGTGGCACCTGCATTGTATAGTATATTTTCTATGTTGTCACCGTAAGCAGTAAATGTCTGTTGTATGAAACGAAAAGCGTAACCACCAGATATATATATATATATATATATATATATATATATATATATATATATATGTATATATATATATATGCAGGTAGGTATATATATACTAGCCGTCATAGGCTATGCTTTACTCTAACTCAGATACGTATGTTTGTTTACAAATGTTTTAAGAAAAATTGAATTGTATTACAAAATAGCTTTTTACACCTTAATAACAAACTTTTGAAAAACGTAACATTAACGTAAAAAATAAACCGGGAGTGATCTCCCCTAAACTTTCTCTAATATTCTTATATAAAACAACAGGGGATGGGAACTCCTTTTTAAATACTTAAAGTTTTTAAAATAGAATAAAATCTCGTACAAAAAAGAATTGCACACCAAGTGAACGCCAAATAAAGATGTGCATAATAGTGCGCAATATTATTAGTACTTTATAAATTTTTTGAGAAATCGGATATAACGTAAATTAGTACTTTCGGTCAACGGAAATTACACATAATTTTACAGAAGGTAGAGAATTTGATGTTTTACTTACATGTGAAATTCCATTTATCTATCTAAAATAGTACTCAAGTTATAGGCTTTTGAAAAATTCAAAGTAGATAAAGTACCACTTTCGGTTATCGGAAATCGCTCAAAAGTTGATACGGATCTACGATTTTGATAAAATACTTATATATGAAATGTCATCAACCTATCTGTTACGGTACTCAAGTTATCGTATTTACACACACACACACACACACACACACACACACACACACACAGACACACAGACACACAGACATAGGCTACGGACAAGATTGCAAAATTATGTTTTTTTCGTATCAGTGAGGTGTAAAATGTCGAGATTTGTAAAAATCTCGATTTTTTTGCACGATTACAAGACTTTCTCTATACTTCGTATATACGAGAAAGTAAAAATCATAAAAAAACATTATATTAATAAGCTTTTATGCAATAATGCACTAAAAATTGAAAATAAATGATTTTTTAAAAATATATTATAAAACACTAATATTTTAATTACTATAAAGAAAAGCGTGGGTCACTTTAGTCTCTATTTGATACCTTTTCTAATAAGTAGCAAGTGACCAACGCTTTTCTTTATGGTAATTTAAATAGTAAGGTATTATTATATACAAGCAGTCGATACCCGTTACACGTGAATTATAGGCCTATATATTTATGTTATACTTGAGAAAAATATTTTATAAAATAGTTATAGGTCACAACGCTTTGTGCTCTACTACACATTGAACGATATTAGTGACAAAGCAAAGAAACTTGTTCAGTTGCACTATTAAAAATGTGTTTCTACATTCGAATATGCCTTTATTTTTATTTTCCTTCATTTAATAAAATTTAGTGTTTGTACATTTGAAACAACCAACATATTATTGTCAACAAAAGTTCGAATCTTTTACTGCTCCATATATAGCTGAACACACTGATCAAATAGCCTTAAAAATGTTGCGGACAGAGAGAGAGAGAGAGAGAGAGGGAGAGAGAGAAAGAGAAGTGCGCACATTGGCTTTTATATATTAGTATTTAAAGGAAATCATTTATTTTCTCCTTTTAGTGCATTATTACATAAAAGCGTTTTATAAATACATTATTTTTAAAATTTACAACAGAGTTGCATAACTAAAAACTGTTGCGCAACTAATAAACGTGATAACGCAAGTATAATAGTGCGGAATAGTTGGATCAGACTGCCTACTAATTTTACACAATTTTAATTAATTCATAAAAAATTAATTAGGCATCCAATTGAGTCCAATTTAATGTCAGATCGCAATGTGTTTATGTCTTGACCCACGACCAAATTTGAACCGAATCTATCAGTTAGAAGTGCCCGAAATTCCGCTCGGGCGTTTCGATCTAGACAGACAAAATGACGACAGATCGACGACAGAGGGAACAAGCTAAATAAAATCTTGTAAAAAATTTCATTAAAAAGTTTTAGTAACAAGCTTTTATGTAATAATGCACAAAAAAGGAGAAAATAAGTTATACACTACTATTTAAATAACTATAAAGAAAAGCGTGGGTCACTTTAGTGTCTATTGGATACCATTACTAATATTTAGGAAGAGAACCACGCTTTTCTGGATAGTTATTTAAATAGTAGTGTATAATTTTTTTCTCCTTTTTTAGTGCATTATTACATAAAAGCTTGTTATTAAAACGTTTTTTATGAAATTTTATTGTAGTACTTTACATGTTTTATTTACACTAGAGTTGCATGTCTGAAAACCGTTGCGCACCTATTAAACGTGATGACGAGTGCCTAGTAGCGCGGAATAGTTTGATGAGGCAGTCTATTAATTTGGACAAAATTTAAATTAATATTTAAAAATTAATCAGGCAACCAATTAAGTCAAATTTAATGTCATGTTGCATTTTCTTTATATCTTGACCCACGTACCAACTACGAACCGTGTCCGTCAGTTAGAAAAGCCTGCGATTTCGCTCGGGCGTCTCGATCTAGACTGACAAGTGACGACTGACGAGGAAGTGAGTTAAATAAAAACTTGTAAAAAGAGTAACAGTACTTTGGACACATACATATTCTGGACCTTCGTGAGAAGTTTAAAACTAATCCATCAGGTAGAAGTGATGTTTTCTGAAAATTGAAAATACCGTACAAATTTTTTTTCACCGGAAATCAATTCAAATGTTATCAGTGGCGTAGCCAGGATCGTCTCAAGGGGGGGGGGGGTTCCAATTTTTACCCGGGGACAAACTTTCGATTTGCACCCCCCCTCAAACTTTCGATTTGCACCCCCCCCCCCTCAAACTTTCGATTTGCACCCCCCCCCCTCAAACTTTCGATTTGCACCCCCCTCATACTTTTTATATATACCGAGGGGTCTATGGGGGGTATGACCCCCCCCCCCTAACCCCCCCCCCTGCCTACGCCACTGAATGTTATCAAAAATAAAGTCGTACACTTATTTTAAATTTTTTGTTTATCTCACTGTTTATCTAAATGCTATCTGTATTTTAGAAAACGAAAGTACTATTTTTGGATATCAAAGGACACTTAAATTTTGAGAGTTATCGAACTATAAGATCCTATATTTGTAAATGATATTTTGTCTACTTATATGAGACAGTTTTGCCAACAAAACAGAGGAACGTACCACTTTTGGTCACAAGAATTTTTAAAACTTTTAAAAAACAAAAACAACTTCGTATACAACCTTATATTTATATTAATAATTTTACATACCTAGCTTTAATGGTACTCAAGTTATCAGCTTTTTATAGACGGAAAATAGAGTACGTATCACTTCTGTTTACCGCAAATCGCTCAAAAGTTGATAATAACTAACAGTTGAGATTATACTTATTTATTAAAATGTGGTCAACATAACTGAAACGGTACTCAAGTTATCGAGTTTATAGACGGACAGGATGGCAAAAGTAAGTTTTTTTTCTGCTCTGAAAGGTTATAATTTTTTTGCATAATTACAGTGCATCCATTTTATTCAACATCATAATCACTGCCTGTCACCCCTGGTAGGGTATGGGCCTCTGTCTTGTGCCATTTTCTTAACATGACTCACGGCTACATCAAACGCCAAATTAAGCACAAAGAAATAGCAATCGCATCCATTTATAACTTACAGCAAGAGTGTTTTGAAAGATGTCGACTTTTGTGGCTGCGTGCAGATACTTGTCAAATAGTCAAAACCTTTTCACGAATTTCGACGTGAATAAAAAGAAAACCCAGAAAACTAATGTTAATTCTTTCTTACCTTCCATGTGAGACTTTAACACCAATATAGTTTAATCTCAATGATCTGTACCTCATATAATATTACATATAGTTACTTTTTAAAATTCACACATTTTCTTATTTATTCCAGCTGGAGCTTCGGCCTTACACTGTTGTTTCTTGATGGTTATGGTTGCATCACTGTTATCAATTTTTTAGAACAGTAAAACAAGCACCATTTAAAAATATGTGTTATATTATGTCAGCTTTTTACACAAATTAAAAAAACGTGCAACAATATCGCTTTGTTAAAATTAAAATTGAAGTAATTGAAATCAATTTTAGGTTTAGTGGATTATGGCCGGATTATAGAAAAAAATGCCCTTGAAATATTTTTATTGGTAGCTGCCTTTGTGTTTTGTAATTTTAAAAAATAAAACAAAATGTCAATAATAAACATTTTTTTTTCAAAGCTTGAAAATTGTAGCGGTATAATAAGTGTAGGTTAGAAAGGCTTCATTTCTGTATGTTAAAATGAAATACATTTTCCATTAGTTAACAAGAAGAAATTATCATCTGCTGATCAAATACATTTTATGATTTTTTTAAAACATTAAATTACTGTTCAGTTCTAAGTATTACAACTTCCAACATTATATCTCTCTCTCTCTCTCTCTCTCTCTCTCTCTCTCTCTCTCTCTCTCTCTCTCTCTCTCTATATATATATATATATATATATATATATATATATATATATATATATATATATATATATATATATACATACATATATATATACATACATATGTATATATATATATATATATATATATATATATATATATATATATATATATATATATATATATATATATATATATATATATATATATATATATATATATATATATATATATATATATAATGTTTTGATGGGTATTCAAATTATCTTTCGATATAATACAACATTAAAAAATTAAATTAAGCACTATTATTTAACATTAACATGTAAGTGTATTATATTTATTAATCATTTTTAAAACGCAATTTTTCATTATTGTAGTATACTTTTTGAAAACCACAACCACTTTCACGTAGCCCACATAAAAGAAGCACTTTTGATATTAATTGATCGTTTTTTCCATAAAAAGGTTAGATGGTTTTATTTTGTTGTATCCAGGAAATCTTGATTGATACTGAACTTTAATATTTTATGTAAGTATTTTCTTTAAAAACTGACAGTGTTTATATTTAAGAAATTTGTTTGATAAATGTTTACGTTACTTGATATAAAATATAATTGTTGAAAACTTTAATTAAGAGGACCAAACAATACTAGGAATGATTACAGGCTTTAATCTGTTGAACAAATATTAAATTATATTACCCTAGACTTCATGTAATAATGCAATAGATTACACATGTACATACGTGATTCAGCAGAACAAAATTTATAAAATTGTTTTAAAAACGTTTTTAAAGTTAGATACATTGCTTTAATAAAATTTAACATGTGTTAAATACCATGTGCAAATACACACATAACTAAATTTTAAAAATATACAATTAATAAACCTTCTTTATATTTTTATCATAATTAATAAAATAAATCTTTAAAAAATAGCAATATCTGTTTTTGTTTTCCTTTTGATGTTTTGAACTTAAATTCAATCAAGGTTTTTTAAGGTTTTTTATCCTGGCTTTTGAGCCCAATTTGCCTGCTGATTCAAACTCCGGACTTTTCGGTTTAGCAACCAGAAGCTTTATCTCGCTAAGCAATAAAAAACATTAGAAGCAAAACATCCAGCATCCACAATAAAACAATTGCCCAAAAGGAGAGTCATATCAAAACGATAAGTTTTCAGAAAATGTGGAGACAGTTGGTGAACGAGCACTGTATTGAAATACTATATGTTTTGAATCCCCTGAACTTTCTCGAATATTCTTATATAACACTACAGGGGATGGCAACTCGGTATATAGACAATATTTTTAATCCATTTTTATTACTTAAACTTTTTAAAATATAATAGAATTACGTAGAAAATTAAATGCGCACCAAATGAACGCCAAAAAATCTATGTGTAATAGAGCGCAATATTAGTAGTACCTTATAAATTCACATGCGTTATTTGAGAAAAAGGAAACAGCATAAATTACTACTTCCGTTCAACGTAAATTTCTCTAAATCTGACAGAGGGCAGAAAAGTAGACCTTTTACTTATATGTGAAATTTCGTTCAACTATCTGAAACAGTAATCAAATTATAGGCTTTTGAAAAAATGAAAGTAGAATAAGTTCCACTTCCGGTAACCGGAAATCGCTTAAAAGTTAATACAAAACTGCAAATTGGATGATATTATACTTTTATATGAAATTTCATCAACCTAGCTGTAACGGTACTCAAGTCATCGTGTTTAAACACACACACACACAAACGCACACACACAAACACACACAGACATCCGACGACACACACACACAGACATACGGACACACACACACATACACAGACGGACAAGATTGCAAAACTATGTTTTTCCGACTTAGGGAGGTGTAAATCGTCGAGATTTGCAAAAATCTCGATTTTCGTTTCCACGAATACAATACTTTCTCTATAGGTCTACTTCGTATACGAGAAAGTAAAAAAAAAAACAACCTAAACTTGATACTGCAGATATATATGGAAAGATAAAATGAGGGGGTAGATTAAACAAAAATCAGTAATAAAGAATCGACAAACTTACATATAAATTGAAATATGAAATAAATCGGGAGTGATCTCCCCTAAACTTTCTCGAATATTCTTATATGAAACAACAGGGGATGGCAACTCGGGATATAGACATGATTTTTAAGCCATTTTCAATACTTAAACTTTTTAAAATAGCATAAAATCTCGTAGAAAAAATAGTTGCACACCAAGTGAACGCCAAATAAAATGTGCATAATAGTGCGGAATATTATTAGTACTTTATAAAATCACATGCGTTTTTTGAGAAATCGGAAATATCGAAAATTACTACGTCCGGTCAACGAAGTTACTTAAAATTTGACAGAAGACTTAGAATTATATCTCTTACTTACACGTGGAATTTCATTTATCTATGTGAGATAGTACTCAAGTTATAGGCTTTTGAAAAATTCGAAGAAGAAAAATTCCACTTCCGGTTATCGGAAATCGCTCAAAAATGTAAAGGTTCTACTATTTGGATCTAATACTTATATGTGTAATTTAATCAACCTAGCACTAACGGTACTCAAGTTATCGTGTTTACAGGCACACACACACATACATACACACACACAGACATACGGACAAGATTGCAAAATTATGTTTTTCCGACTCAGGGAGCTGTAAAACGTCGAGATTTGCAAAAATCTCGATTTTTTTGCACGATTACAAGACTTTCTCTATAGGCCAACTTCGTATATACGAGAAAGTAAACATGGCAATACACTTGGATGTCGTTGCATAATTATATCAATGCAATATTTGTAGGAATATTTTTTAAAATTTATTTACGAGGGGAGCCAGCTGTATTTTCTTTTTAAACACAAGCAACACAAATGTTGACAAAAACAAAATCAGAGCCAGAAATATATTTATAATCCTAGTTTATTAACAAACATTAAGCTGTAGCAACGATTAAAATGTGAAATATATTTTTCATATTCAAAAGATCGTGATAACTAAAATTCAAATTTGGATAATTTACATTTTATGTCATGTTTATACCTAAAGTATAAAAAATGAACCCCTAAGTAACTTTTTTTTTACCAATGACAAATTAATTTTCACAATAAATAAAATATAATTTTTTTGCATTTTTTATATTGCTATAAAATTGTTAATGGATTTCCATAAAACTTCAAACCTCAGTCTGTTGTCTATATTAGGATCACGGACGATGTAATTTCATCTCTGCGTATTTCATAGAGCTTACACTTGTTGTTATAGGGCCCCATGCAATTCCTTTACAAGAATCATCGGCATGCCAATCCCCAGTTAGTTTTACCAAAAAGCAATTTTTATACCACCAACCACCCGTACAGTTTACGGAACAGTTAACCAAATCCGAATTATCGTTGTCCTTATCAAATGTGGTAAAGGGCATTCCATTGTGGTAGTTAAAATAGTCTCTAATGTCGCCTGTCTTGAATGACAAGTTCATCCTATACAAATCAGCTTCATTTCCCACCGTCACATTGCTGTAAACCATGGAGTAGGATTTACCTTCAAATTGCATGTCAACACACAGTTCATTGTAGCCCTTTGAAAATTTTAAAGAATATTTCAAATGAATTTATATTTAATTTTTTTTTTAAATCGGAAAGGGAAATCAGACAGCTTATATTATTGTATATTTTATTTAGTCAAAATGTCTAGATTTTAAGCAATACATAGAACGTTAAAATGGAAATAGAATGTATTTGATAGATCATGACAATATGCCTGGTTTTAAAATAATTTTTCCAGTTGTATTCTTTTAGGTATGTATATAGTTGAAATAAAACATGTATAATTAATGTTAATCTAAGTCACAAACATATTTTTGAAAAAGACAACTCATTATCATTAATTGTCAAAAATCAAAGTTTCCTTTTTACAAATCACACAAAATAAACGTCAATAATTTAAATTATTAATTGCAATTTTCTACAACACTTACTATACTGCATTGACAGATAAGTTCGTTTGATTAATCTACTGCTTTGTTTAAAAGTATATACCTTAATCATAAAATAGGCATCCAAGAATGAGTATAATGTATAAAATACAATTAGAGTAAATTAAAAAAAAAACCTGACAAACTTTGTGAGTGAGGTATGAGATCCAGTCATTTCCAAGCCAAAAATCGCCATCAAAAGATCCAAATCCATTTTTATAATCGACCCAGTTTCTAGCAAAATTTACATCTCCTTTGACACGCGAAGAATAGTTAAATAAATTTACACATATAAATAAAATTTAACATAGTTAAAGCTCGTACCAGTACGACAATTCCCTTTTCCCCATCTGGTTTCACATCACATAAGGCTAGTTTTTTCCTCATTAAGTGGGTAGTCCATTGATCCTCATTAGCCCAGTTTTCATTCCTAACACACTAGATAAATGAGAATTAATTACATAGTAGTAACATATTAAAATATTTTTAAACACTGGTTTCAGTGAATTATTCTAAATTAATTTTTAAGCCAGGCTGTAGTTTAAAACTGGTAATCGGATCGTCGACTATTACTCTAAAACAACCTAGACTTTGTATATTTAAAGGAACAGGTTTGTAATTGTATCAGTAAATTATCAGTAGCGTATGCAGGGTGGAAGCAGAGTGGGCGGCGGATAGCTTTGCACAAATTATAAGGATAGTGACGCCTTTTTCAGAGGGTTATTCTAATAGACTATTAATTGTGTTTTAATATCATTTTTGTCCAGCTACATGGCGCTTTTAAAAATACCAATTACGTTTTTAATTAAAATTTTTATCTCCCATGTTTAATAGCTTGACATTTATTATAATGATAATACACTTTATTTATAATAGTAGACGATTGATTTTTAAACAAATGAAATAGCAAATAATAGTTTTGGAATTAAAACAATAAATGTTCATATAATAGAATTGTTTTACTAGGTTATAAAAGATGGTCACGTTTTTTGAGTGAATTTTTTGTGCTATTTTATGTATTTTGTTCTTGAAAAAATAGCTAAAAACTAATATATTGCTAGTGTTAGGGCTGTGAGGATTTCACCTTTAATATCACAACCAAACACCTGTGATAATATTCACCATCGATGTACTTTCTCTAATTTGTCATCACTAATTCAAGAACAGGATTGAACGAATTTGGCAAAGTACCATGCACATTATTAATTCATGTTTATTTAAACTCTTAAATAGCATCAACGAATAGACGATATAAATAGTCCGACTAGACATTCACTTTCGCATCAAAGCTTAGAATGAAATCCCTCAATAGCAAAACCGTTTCTACATAACACACACACACACTAGCAAACACACACACACACACACATTATATATATATATATATATATATATATATATATATATATATATATATATATATATATATATATATATAACTGACTTTGACAGATTGCGGCTTTATACTTCATTACTTTTTAAAAAGATATATACTTGCATATGCGATTATATATATATATATATATATATATATATATATATATATATATAAGCATATTTCTACATATAGGCCTACTTATCAGCACATCTAAATTCAGCAAGAAAAAAAGTTCACGTATTTTACGGTATAATGTAGATATCACTCAAATCAAATCAGCCCAAGACATTTTTGTTTACTGTACATTATTTTGTTTTAAAGTAAATTAACTTAAGTCGTATTGTCGACGCATCGAGAGACAGATAGTTGGAACCTTTTTAACGTTCCATTAAAATCAAAAAAAAATTCAAATGAAGTATTAACTATTGTTACAAGTAATTAGATGTTAAGGTAAAATATTCTATTTTGTTATCAGCTAGCAGATCGAGCACTACTCTGTAATGTGCCGAAGCGAGAAGAAATAAAGTACTAAACCGTGAGTTCTATAGTGAACTGAATAAAATGAAAGCAAGTCTTAACAGCGACAACAATAAGTAAATACTTACCACGAACGGTGGTGGTGGTCTAACTTTGCTTCTGTCTAAGAATAGTTCTAAACTTTTCAGATTGGGTGTTTGGATATCAGAAGAAATTCTTTTATCTAAAAACAGTCATGTTTAGATAATTTTGTTTACTCATATATAATTTTGTTTACTTATATATATATATATATATATATATATATATATATATATATATATACATATACATATATATATATATATATATATATATATATATATATATATATATATATATATATATATATATATTTATATATATATATATATATATATATATATATATATATATATATATATATATATATATATATATATATATATACATAAAATTATATATATATAATTATATATATAAAGATATAGATATATATTTTCCTTAGATCTACATTTATTACAAGTGGAGTTAGTTACAACGGTTGTAATAAAATCATACTGTCCCACATCATCTTTCTGATCTACTTAGTATATAGAAGTAATAATAACTTCTGCACTAGTCGTAGGCTATTATAGGTTGGGTAATTGAAATCAAACCAGACCCTATGATGCTGAACATATCCATAGCGATGAAATTAATTTCATTAAACACTATTTTTATGGAGGCTAGAAAAGGCATACAACGTCACTAACATTTTCTTATTATGAAAAGACTGCATATATTAAACATTATGTTGCAAAATTTTTGAAAAAATTTCACAAGGATTTCAAAAGTAAAAACGAATATTTAAAAGACACGTTGAGAAAGTTAAATAAAAAGTAGTTTACTATAGACTATGGCTTACCTTCATCATTGTTTGTTTCCGCACATAGTGGTCTTTGAAATAAGAGTAAAACAAAGGTGCACAGAACACACGTGAAGTACATCGTTGTTCTAAACAGCTTGTCGAAATTGAGTAGGACTGATAGTCAACTTGATCTGATAGGATGAGGATTTTTATATCATTTTTATTTACTAGTTTTCTAATCGTGCAGCAGATTGTGAAGTGGTTTGTTTATTGTCTAATATACATTTAATGTATATTGAGTTATATATATATATGCTACGGTTAAAGCCCGAAGTGCGGCTAAAACCCGCATTGACCGGCTAATGTGCGCATTGGCCGGCTCTTTTGGCCAAGGCCCGAAGAACTTAGCACTAAGAGCGTATTTCGTACAGTAGCCGGCCAATGCACGCATTGGCCGGGACGTACTGGCCAAAGTCCGAAACGCTTAAACTTAACAGCATGTTTTGCACATTGGCCGGCCAATGCGCGCACTGGCCGGGATGTCCTGGCCAAAGTAATATCTAGCCTAAGTTATGATCGCGTTTTCATTATTCTGGGTGCGATTTCATTGTGAGTAACGTATTATTTGGCTTTTGTTTGTATAGCATTCTATATGCAATGCGACATGGACCAAAAGGACCGTCAGATCAAAGACGGACATACCAGATGGCTGCCAAAATAAATAATCCTAATCCTAATGGAAAAGATTTTGTAAATCAAGTTATTTCTGAGCTAAAGAACATGTGGCATGAACTTAAACTATTTCACAGAAAACCAAGGCATAGCCAAAGCCAATGTTCAGTCGAACGTGCCAACTAAGATGTTTAAAACATGATGATGACAAGGATGCAGACAAAGTAATCAGCTTATTGGTCTTAAATTCATTCGATTTATGAAAAACCGTAATTTTCATCAACGAATCAAACAATCGCCATACGAAACCTTGTTTGGGTGCAAAGCAAAAGTGGGAATTAGCACTTCAAAATCCATGTTAGTTTCCATATATGGCTACAACTGTAAGTGACAGATTCCTGCATGATGACAATCATCAAAGAACAAAATCAAAGGCAGTCGGCGTCACCGACCACGTGCAACAAGACGGAACGTTCAAAGGACTTTGCAGCGTTCCTTGTAAGTTGAACAATAGTGTCCAAGCGACTTCAGATGGCGTGGGCGTAAGAAACCATATTTCCCCAACAAAAGGGAAAACCAAATAAAGCAGACCCATCACCGCGCCTTGACTGGACTGCATGATAAATACCGACACTGCGGATTACTTGACTGTTTAACACTACGTTTGCTTGATTGTCGAGTGATGTCTGCCAAAATCGGTAAGTTTTAATTCTTTAATTATTATAATACAGACAGTGATGATTTTTTTTCACTTTAGTATCAGCCTGTCTGTAATTTTCTTTTTTTTTTTTACCTTTTCGTATATTAGGTATAGAGAAATTATTGCAATCGTGCAAAAAAAAAAATCGACATTTTCGCAACTCTCCCTGAGTCGGAAAAACATAGTTTTGCAATATTGTCCGTATGTCTCTCTGTGTGTATGTGTGTGTATGTATGTGTGTGTGTGTGTGTGAACACGATAACTTGAGTACCGTTACAGTTACGTAGACGAAATTTCATAATAAAGTATTATATCAAATTTGTAGATTGTATGAAATTTCACGTATAAGTAAAATATCTAATTCTCTGCCTTCTGTTAAATTTTGAGTCATTTCCGTTGACCGGAAGTAGTAATTTACACATTTTATTTGGCGTTCACCTAGTGCGCAATTCTTTTTCTACGCTATTCTATTATATTTTTAAAAGTTTACGTAATTAAAAATGGATTAACAATAATGCCTATATCCCGAGTTGCCATCCCCCGTAGTGTTATATAAGATCACTCCCGGTTTATATAACATGTAATGCTCTTGCAAATATTAATAGATACATTATAATAAAGACTATAATTTATTGAAATGGTAATCCGTTAAATCTCTTATTGTTGAATGTGTGTCTTGGTACATACTAAGTATTTATTTAATTGATTTTGTTGTTGTATCCGAATTTCCCATGCAGCAGTATTCCATTTTATTGGTCTTCCCATGGCTTCTTCTTCCGAGACAACCACGCTGGTTGAAGGTGGCGCTCATGCAAATATCGAACCAACGTTTGATATGAAAACTATGTTTTTAGACCATTTGACTACTGTACTACATGGAAAACCAAACAATAGCTTTATTCTAAACAAAGACAAAAACATTGCTATTATAGAAGACGTTAAACAGGCTAAAGCAAAGCAGACAAAAAAAAGACTGTTGACTATCGTCGACTAAATAAATATGATGTTATTGAAGTTGACGGTGAAGAAAAACTTATTGTACCACTAAAAGAAGACAATGGTGCTATTTTGTACTACGTGCACTCAGAAGAGTTGTTCGACTTGATCAATGAAACTCACTTGAAAATGGAGGTCGCACACGGATTGAAAAAGAGCTGAAGAGAAAATTAAAAAATATCACCAAAGAAATTATTACTATGTATCTTCGGTTGTGCAAGCCTTGTCAGACAAAATTGTCTAATCCCAAGAAGGGTCTTGTTTCCAAACCTTTGATATTTAAAGAATTTAACTCAAGATGCCAAGTGGATCTTTTTGATATGCAATGTAACCCAGACGGCAAATACAAATTTATACTCAGTTACCAGGATAATTTAACAAAGTTCATATTGTTGCGAGCTTTGGAAACCAAAAGAGCAGAAGAAGTTGCGAACCAGCTCTGGATATCTTCACGACTATTGGTGCCCCAAGTGTGCTTCAATCAGATAATGGAAGAGAATTTGTTAATCAATTTAGTTCTGAACTAAAGAACATGTGGCCTGAACTTAAACTAGTTCGCGGAAAACCAAGGCATAGCCAAAGCCAAGGTTCAGTCGAACGTGCCAACCAAGATGTTCAAAACATGATGTTGACACGGATGCAAACAAATGAATTAGCTCATTAGGCTGAGAGTCTCAAATTCATTAAATTTATGAAAAATCGTTCTTTTTATCAAGGAATCCAACAATCGCCATACAAATCCTTGTTTGGATGCAAAGCAAAAGTGGGACTTAGCACTTCAAATCTACAAAGAGAGGCTCTCGATAAAATAGTTACTGAGGAAGATCTTGAAAACATTGAACAAGAAATGGAGGTTGCCATAAATGCAACGACATCCTCAGCTAACACATCTGCCGCCGTGGCGGAACGTCCAGACCAGTTGCGTGACAATAATGTGGCCAACAGATTCTGTATAGTTTGTGAAAAACATTGTAGTGCAGTTCATTCTTGTGGATCCTGTGGCAACGATGTCCATGCTATTTGTGGAATACCCAATGAAGCAGACGAAGGATACGGAGGAAATATTACCTGCAGATTGTGTCACAACAAACAAGACATCATGGAACACAGGTCAGCAGCTCATACTAGCTTGCAAACTCAAGGTGCTAAGATGCTTAAAACATCAAATACAAAATTTAAAGATGCTGACAATGTACGCATCCGTGTTCCAGATGTTGACAGAGGTCGCGGTGATCCCCGAAGCGAGATTGCAGTTGTCATGAGGGTCGAGGGCGGTTTCTATAAATTAGGAACGGAACATGGTATGCTAGAAGTGAGTTTTCAATTCTTCACGAAAAACTGCTCTTATTGTCGCATCTTCACAATCATTGACTGGGGGCCGAGACTACACTCGCTGAAATTGCACAACCAAGTACACAACAAATCGTTGCAAGTTTAAAAATAACAAGCTACTATGTAATTCTAAATGCCATAAAAGTTCAACTTGTTGTAACAAATGATAATATTGATTGATTGAGACTATAGTACAATAAAAAAATATAATGTTTCTGTCATTTACTTTAATTAATAATAAATAAAGACTTAATTTCATGATCCTTACGGCATAAAAAAAACACCAAAATCTGCTCATGATTTTCTAATGCGGACTTTGGCCGGTCATCCCTAGCCAGATGATCCATCCATCCATCCATCCATCCATCCATCCATCCATCCATCCATCCATCCACCCATCCATCCATCCATCCATCCATCCATCCATCCATCCATCCATCCATCCATCCATCCATCCATCCATCCATCCATCCATCCATCCATCCATCCATCCATCCATCCATCCATCCATCCATCCATCCATCCATCCATCCATCCATCCATCCATCCATCCATCCATCCATCCATCCATCCATCCATCCATCCATCCATCCATCCATCCATCCATCCATCCATCCATCCATCCATCCATCCATCCATCCATCCATCCATCCATCCGTCCATCCGTCCATCCGTCCATCCGTCCATCCGTCCATCCGTCCATCCGTCCATCCGTCCATCCGTCCATCCGTCCATCCGTCCATCCGTCCATCCGTCCATCCGTCCATCCGTCCATCCGTCCACCGTCCATCCGTCCGTCCGTCCGTCCGTCCGTCCGTCCATCCATCCATCCATCCATCCATCCATCCATCCATCCATCCATCCATCCATCCATCCATCCATCCATCCATCCATCCATCCATCCATCCATCCATCCATCCATCCATCCATCCATCCATCCATCCATCCATCCATCCATCCATCCATCCATCCATCCATCCATCCATCCATCCATCCATCCATCCATCCATCCATCCATCCATCCATCCATCCATCCATCTATCCATCCATCCAACAACACATTTTCTATTGTTTCATAATTTTTAATCTTATTGAAGGAATTGCATTAAATATTTAAACACCAATCATATGTCTACCTCATGATAAAGAAGACCAGTTTTTATTTTACTTTAGGTTTACTTGATGTAGTTGCATCTCTGCGTATTCCAGATGTTCAATATTACCATTCATAGAGGACCACCGAATTCCATTACAATCATTAATACGTGTCCAATCTCCAGTGACTTTGATGTAAGTGCAAGATTTATACCACCAGCCGCCAACACATCTTTCAGCACAGTGACGTTTTGAAATATCATTGTCTCTATCAAATGTGGAAAAGGCCATTCCGTTGTTGTAAGTGAACAGATCTTGAGGGTCGTCAGTCTTGTTGTTAAAATGTAGCCTGTACAAATCTGCTTCGGTGCCCACTTTGAAATCACGGTACACCTTGTACATGGATTTTCCTTTATATTTAAAGTGACACCTTAGTTCACTATAGCCCTGCAGAAATATAAAAAAAATATTTTGAAAAATTGTTTTAATAATTTTTAACCCTCATGTGAATAAGACAGTTTTACATTATCACGAACTGTGTTACGGATTTTAACTAACAGCACTTTGATCAGTAATATGACCTTGTCTTTTTCTTATAAATGATCTAAATGAAACAGCAATTAAGTTCCACTTCATGTTACCAGAAATTGCTGAAAACTTGATGCAGAGCTCCAAATTTGATATAATACTTATATGTGACGTTTCGTAAACCTAGCTGTATCGGTATTCAATATATCTTGTTCATAAAAACACACACACCAACATACAGACAAGATTGCAAAATTAAGTTTTTCGACTCAGGGAGGTCTAAAACGACAAGTTTAGCGAAAATCTCAATTTCGATTTTTTTTCATGATTACAATACTTCGTCTATACTCTGTATATACAAGTAAGTAAAAAGGATTTAGTCTGTTAAATTCTTTTTGTAACAGATCAAACACGAAAGAGGCCAGAGTGCTGTTTATAATTTAAAATTTACTATGACACTTTACACAAAAGCATTGAAGGAATACGGTTTGATCTTAATTCTCTATTGTTGCATTTTGTGGATTTCTTTGCATATAACAGACAGTTTTATAGTGAGGTTTTTTAAAATAAAAATTACTTAAAATGTAAATGGTTTATTTATTGTATTCTCGATACAACTATATTAAGGCAAATCATATGCAAGTTAACTGAAATGTTAACGAACATTGTGTGTAAGGTATGAAATCCAGTCATTTCCAATCCAAAAATCGCCATCAAATGATCCAAAGCCAATTTTATAATCGACCCAGCCCCTTGAAAAATTCACACCTCCTTTAACACGCCTCTGAAAATAATTGAACAAGAAAAAGCAACAACAGGGAATCGTTAAATACGTGTAGGAATATTTAAATGAAATTTAACACAATGAAAATACATACCAGTATGACAATCGGTTCTCCCGAATTCCTTTTGACGCCACATAAGACAATTTTGTTTCCACTTATTTCAGCAATCCATTGTTGTTGAACATCAGAGTTACTTCCCTTAACGCACTAGATAAGTTAATATTTAAACACTAGTATTTTTGTTCAAAACAATTTGAAAATAAGATCGTGTGCATGATGAGGATAATGCCAACAAAAAAATAACCATACGGCATAGGTATACACACACACACACACGCACACACACACACACAGAGACACACATCACACACACGCACAAACGCACGCTCGCACGCACGAACGCACGCACGCTCGCTCGCACGCACGCACGCACGAACAAACGCACGCACGCACGCACGCACGCACACACACACACACACACACACACACACACACACACACACACACACACACACACACACACACACACACACATATATATATATATATATATATATATATATATATATATATATATATATATATATATATATATATATATATACTAGCCGTGCCGGCCAGGCCCTGCACTGGCATCTCTGAAAAAACGGACCTGTAAAGGACCATAACTTGTGTGTTGAGTAATCAGCATTTACCCGGCATTTCCCCCCCTAACCACAACCAACCAAAACACACAAAAACGCAAACATAACACTAACACAAAAAAACACAAAAGAAAACAGAAAACCAAACGCAAAGACAAACCCAACCAGAAACACAAAGAAAACACAAACACTAACGCAAACAAAAAAGCAAACAAAAGCAAATCCAAACGCAAACACAAACCCAACCACAACCAAACAAAACCAAAACACAAAAAAAAGCGCAAACATAACACAAACACAAATTCAAACACAAACGAAAACAAAAAAGCAAACACAAACACAACCAAAAACACAAAGAAAACACAAACGCAAAGAAAAATCAAACGAAAACACAAATGCAAAGAAAAAAAGCAAACGAAAACAAACCTAAACCCAAATCCAAACGCAAACACAACCACAAAAGCAAACCCAAACTCAAACACAAAGAAAACACAAACGCAAAGATAAACATAAAGTGTCCACAGTCTAGTCGCCAAATCGCATCATGGCGACGTGCGGCGTAACCGCCTGATTCAACTTAGTAAACGACTATAGTAACCAACTTATTCATAGTCTTTTGAACTCACTTACGCGAACGTAGGTACCATAGCGAACACGGGAAGGCCCGGGGCGCCAAATAGCACCCTGTCGGGGTGCCGGAGGACACGCGGATTTGATTCACTTAAAGACTATATTAACCTTTCTTATCCATATTCTATCGCACTGTTTAAAACGACGTAATGCACCATAGCGCTCACATAATAGCTCAGGGCGCCAAATCAAATCGTGCAGGGGCGCCGGCGGACGCGCCTGTTTCAATTGAGACGTAAAACAGGTCAGTAATTTTTCAAATGTTTATTCTTATTCAAGCGCGTTAAAAAATATATATCGTTTAATAAGGTCACGGTCAGTCGCGGTCAGTTTTCTATCACTTTAAACGCGATGTTTGAGATGTTTATATTATCCCCTTTAGATTGAGCTTGAATATCGCTTTAAAAAGAACATAAAGTTAATATTCTTGACTAATTCTTTTAATGTTTAAAATTTAGCAAGAAAAAAGTTCAGTTTTTAGCCTAAAATATACATTTCGGAGAATCTGGTAGTTTTCCAGGTTCTTGGGGTACCAGAGCTATCTCCTTACCAAAAAACTCGAGTAGGTTTCTAGTTCTCAAATGTTTATTCTTATTCAAGCGGATTAAAAAAAAAGTATCGTTTAATAAGATCACTTTAAACGCGATTTTTGAGATATTTTACATTATTAGATTGAGCTTGAATATCGCTTTAAAAAGAACATTACTTAAACTTTCCAAACAACACCAAGTTTATTGCGCTTTACTTTTCCACGTAATTAATACTTACACTGAAATGTGTTGGTGTAACATTAGAAGAGTCCATATTTGTAGTTGGGTCTAAGAGAAGATCCAAACTTTTCAGTTTTGGTTTACTAATATCTGGAAAAAAGCTGCTAAAATTGATTTAAGTAAAAGTAGCATAAGTATTCAACGCTCAACAGCACATTAGCAACAGCCAAAACTAACACTAAACAACAGCCTCACCCCAACCATTGCGACTCTTTTAGCCTGACTCTGACTCTGACCCTGACCCTGACAATCAAATTCAACAACAACCAACGCCACAACAACAACAACAACAACCACAAGCACAACCTCTACCTCTACCTCTACTTCAACTACAACCACAACAACAACCACAACCTCAACCTCTACCTAAATCACAACCCCAACCAAAATCATAACTACAACCACTACTACAATTACAACCTCAGCCTAACCTTAACCTTAACTACAACCTAAAATTCAACCTAAGCTTCAACCTTACCTCAACCTCAACCTCAACCTCTACCTCTAACTCAACTACAACCAAAATCACAACTACAACCACAACCACAACCAAAATCACAACCAAAATCACAATCACAAACACAACCACAACCACCACAACCTCTACCTCAACCTCAACCTCAACCACAACCACAACCGAAATCACAACCAAAATCACAATCCCAAACACAACCACAACAACCACAACCTCTACCTCAACCTCAAATTGAACCTCAACCATAACCACAACCACAAACACAAACACAACCTTAACCTCAACCACCATCTCAACCTCAACCTCAACCTCAACCAGAACCACAACCACAACCACAACCACACCCATAAACTCAACCTCAACCTCAACCTCACCCTCAACCTCAACCTCAACCTCAACCTCAACCTCAACCTCAACCTCAACCTCAACCTCAACCTCAACCTCAACCTCAACGTCAACCTCAACCTCAACCTCAACCTCAACCTTAACCACAAACTCACACTCAACCTTAACCTCAACTTCAACCACAACCACAACCACAACCACAACCTCAACCTCAACCTCAACCTCAACGTTAAAGTAAAAAGTTAGTTTTAAAAAGATACGTTGAAAATAAATTAAAGAAGTTTAGTATATACAATGTCTTACTTTTATCATTCTCTGCTCTGGCACATAGACAGGGTTGAAAGAAAAGCAAAACAATTGCACACAGTAAACGTATGAAGTCCATGTTGTTCTCAATCAGCTTGTCTAACTGGACTAGGTCTAACACTTGGTCTGAAAATATTGGAATTTAAATTTTTTATAAACCAATATTTTATTCGTGCAACAGCTTGTGAAGTAAATTTCTTGTTTGTCAAACAGGCAATAAGTGGAATGTTTTAATTAAAATTTATGATGAGTATTTTGGTTTATATATAACTTTGATAGTTATGGCATTTACGTGTCCTGAGTTGGTGCGCGGACCTTTGACCACAGGTGCTTTGACCATAGGGGGTTTGACCATAGGGGGTTTGACCACAGCGGAGCTTTGACCATAGGGGCTTTGACCATAGGGGGTTTGACCACTGCGGGCCTTTGACCATAGCGGTGCTTTGACCATAGGGGGTTTGATCATAGGGGGTTTGACCATAGGGGGTTTGACCACATGTGTTTTCTCAGCAGAGGGTCTTTGATCACAGGTGGTCTATCAACTGGTGTTTGATAACAAGCGCTGTGTCCGGCTTTGATCATAGGTGTGATACAATTAACACGATTTTATACATGTTTCCTGAGAGTACGTTAATAGAAATTAACATGTATTAAAAAAAAGCCAAGAATTATATTTTAGTCTCCACATAAAGGCTGGTGCTAGACCTCATAGGTTTATTTTTAATATAAATGAAACACAAATAATGCGACATATAACAAGTTTCACAAATAAATAATGTAGATGTACTTGAAAATGCATAGTCTTCGTTTCATTTCTCCAACAGCTCGTTTTGCCAAACCATAGCTAATGTTTCCTTCTTTTGAATGTTGAGGAATCAGCTCTCCTATAATCACAAGATTTTGTGCAACTATTGAAGCTTTGCACTTACAAGTGCGATTCTTCGTACACGGTACACCGCCAAACGCGTGACCCGTCCTGGCGTTCTCTGTGTAGCCAAAACTCGTGGCCACGATACAACAAAGTTCTTTTACTTTTTTTGACGTGCTATACTCTCCAAGATTCTCTATGGTTTTGACATAGAGTAGTTTAGATGACTTGTATTTATACATGATGATTTAACATATTATTACATCATGTCGAATATAATTTAGCAACTTTTAAAATAAATCCTTACCATATATGGACAGCATTGGACAAACCACCTGAGATCAAAGACCCTATGTGGACAAAACACCTATGATCAAAGCCGGACGCAGCGCCTGTGATCAAACACCAGTTGATAGACCACCTGTGATCAAGGACCCTCTGCTGAGAAAACACCTGTGGTCAAATCCCCTATGGTCAAACCCCCTATGATCAAACCCCCTATGGTCAAAGCACCGCTATGGTCAAAGCCCCGCTGTGGTCAAACCCCCTATGGTCAAAGCCCCTATGGTCAAAGCTCCGCTGTGGTCAAACCCCCTATGGTCAAACCCCCTATGGTCAAAGCACCTGTGGTCAAAGGTCCTAGGATCCCTGAGTTAGGGGTATTCACATATACTTTAAAAATGTGAATTTTCAAATATACATTGAGCGTGTGGTATTTCACATACACATTGACACTAAAAAACTATGATGGTGACATGAAATGTTATACCAGATGTGTGAACCTGAACAAAAATGTTCATCTAATGTTTGAAAGAGTGTGTATAAGGAGGATTTTTTACTGCGCATGTCTTGGCCACACAATATGACCTTTTTCATTGCAAGTTTAGATTGTTTTAAAGCTGCTAACCAGTTGGTGTTTAAGTTTTGGATTATTAGAAAACAAAAAGGTTAATTATTGATAATAATTAAATTTAAAAAAAAAATAATTTTCAATTAAAAAAAGCTAAAAGACAATAAAGTTAATGTTCTATAGGACAAGATATTCTTTGTTAGACGATATTTTTTCAATATGATAATTAATATACTGTTGGAAAAGTAAAGTGTATTATGAACTTTGAAAATAGGTGTCAGGAAATTAAGAAGATCTGTTCTGTTCTGGAAAACTTTAAGAAGAAAATTAATTAACCTTAAAAACCCGTAAACAAATTAAAACAAGGAGGTAAGACGATTTTATTTACGCTGGAAATAAGCAGTCAAATTGACAGCCTAATCTATTTTTGAATATCGACTAAACAACAACAATTGAAATTTTAAAAAAAAAGTACATTTGAGTTTATTTATGAAATTATAAATGAGCCAACTCAGTTGTTTTAATTGATGTTATTAACTTAAGACAGAATTTTAATTTCAAGCATATCCTAATAATTGTTTTTCTATTGATTTTTGGGAAAAGCTAATTGAAATTCTAAATTTGCTAATTTGAATATAAGGATGGCGATGTGGATGAGAATAAAGATGTGCATAAGGGTAAAGGGTAAAGGGTAAAGGGTAAAGGGTAAAGGGTAAAGGGTAAAGGGTAAAGGGTAAAGGGTAAAGGGTAAAGGGTAAAGGGTAAAGGGTAAAGGGTAAAGGGTAAAGGGTAAAGGGTAAAGGGTAAAGGGTAAAGGGTAAAGGGTAAAGGGTAAAGGGTAAAGGGTAAAGGGTAAAGGGTAAAGGGTAAAGGGTAAAGGGTAAAGGGTAAAGGGTAAAGGGTAAAGGGTAAAGGGTAAAGGGTAAAGGGTAAAGGGTAAAGGGTAAAGGGTAAAGGGTAAAGGGTAAAGGGTAAAGGGTAAAGGGTAAAGGGTAAAGGGTAAAGGGTAAAGGGTAAAGGGTAAAGGGTAAAGGGTAAAGGGTAAAGGGTAAAGGGTAAAGGGTAAAGGGTAAAGGGTAAAGGGTAAAGGGTAAAGGGTAAAGGGTAAAGGGTAAAGGGTAAAGGGTAAAGGGTAAAGGGTAAAGGGTAAAGGGTAAAGGGTAAAGGGTAAAGGGTAAAGGGTAAAGGGTAAAGGGTAAAGGGTAAAGGGTAAAGGGTAAAGGGTAAAGGGTAAAGGGTAAAGGGTAAAGGGTAAAGGGTAAAGGGTAAAGGGTAAAGGGTAAAGGGTAAAGGGTAAAGGGTAAAGGGTAAAGGGTAAAGGGTAAAGGGTAAAGGGTAAAGGGTAAAGGGTAAAGGGTAAAGGGTAAAGGGTAAAGGGTAAAGGGTAAAGGGTAAAGGGTAAAGGGTAAAGGGTAAAGGGTAAAGGGTAAAGGGTAAAGGGTAAAGGGTAAAGGGTGAAGGGTAAAGGGTGAAGGGTGAAGGGTAAAGGGTAAAGGGTAAAGGGTAAAGGGTAAAGGGTAAAGGGTAAAGGGTAAAGGGTAAAGGGTAAAGGGTGAAGGGTGAAGGGTAAAGGGTGAAGGGTGAAGGGTGAAGGGTGAAGGGTGAAGGGTGAAGGGTGAAGGGTGAAGGGTGAAGGGTGAAGGGTGAAGGGTGAAGGGTGAAGGGTGAAGGGTGAAGGGTGAAGGGTGAAGGGTGAAGGGTGAAGGGTGAAGGGTGAAGGGTGAAGGGTGAAGGGTGAAGGGTGAAGGGTGAAGGGTGAAGGGTGAAGGGTGAAGGGTGAAGGGTGAAGGGTGAAGGGTGAAGGGTGAAGGGTGAAGGGTGAAGGGTGAAGGGTGAAGGGTGAAGGGTGAAGGGTGAAGGGTGAAGGGTGAAGGGTGAAGGGTAAAGGGTAAAGGGTAAAGGGTAAAGGGTAAAGGGTAAAGGGTAAAGGGTAAAGGGTAAAGGGTAAAGGGTAAAGGGTAAAGGGTAAAGGGTAAAGGGTAAAGGGTAAAGGGTAAAGGGTAAAGGGTAAAGGGTAAAGGGTAAAGGGTAAAGGGTAAAGGGTAAAGGGTAAAGGGTAAAGGGTAAAGGGTAAAGGGTAAAGGGTAAAGGGTAAAGGGTAAAGGGTAAAGGGTAAAGGGTAAAGGGTAAAGGGTAAAGGGTAAAGGGTAAAGGGTAAAGGGTAAAGGGTAAAGGGTAAAGGGTAAAGGGTAAAGGGTAAAGGGTAAAGGGTAAAGGGTAAAGGGTAAAGGGTAAAGGGTAAAGGGTAAAGGGTAAAGGGTAAAGGGTAAAGGGTAAAGGGTAAAGGGTAAAGGGTAAAGGGTAAAGGGTAAAGGGTAAAGGGTAAAGGGTAAAGGGTAAAGGGTAAAGGGTAAAGGGTAAAGGGTAAAGGGTAAAGGGTAAAGGGTAAAGGGTAAAGGGTAAAGGGTAAAGGGTAAAGGGTAAAGGGTAAAGGGTAAAGGGTAAAGGGTAAAGGGTAAAGGGTAAAGGGTAAAGGGTAAAGGGTAAAGGGTAAAGGGTAAAGGGTAAAGGGTAAAAGGGTAAAGGGTAAAGGGTAAAGGGTAAAGGGTAAAGGGTAAAGGGTAAAGGGTAAAGGGTAAAAGGGTAATGGTAAAGGGTAAAGGGTGAGGGTGAAGGGTAAAGGGTAAAGGGTAAAGGGTAAAGGGTAAAGGGTAAAGGGTAAAGGGTAAAGGGTAAAGGTTAAGGTTAAGGTTAAGGTTAAGGTTAAGGTTAAGGTTAAGGTTAAGGTTAAGGTTAAGGTTAAAGTTAAGGTTAAGGTTAAGGTTAAGGTTAAGGTTAAGGTTAAGGTTAAGGTTAAGGTTAAGGTTAAGGTTAAGGTTAAGGTTAAGTTCCAGGTAGTTGTAGAATAGTGTTACGTGAAACGCAAGAATGTGACGTTTCAGTGTAGGAACGTTTTTGCCTTGAAAAAGTTTAAAGTAGTCTTGTTGTTGTTGAGGTTGTGTATGTGATAAACTCTCAAAATCGTTTTTCCATGTCGTTATATGTATTATTGGGAACAGGGCAATAGCCCCCCCCCCCCTCGCCAATAACCCGGGCATTTCTACCCCCGACATTAACCCCGGAGTAATTACCCCCTGTCAATTACCTCCCCCCCCTCCTAGTCAATTTCCCCTCGCGCTGTAGGACATTACCCCCCTCCCGGATAGGGTTAGAGTTAGGGTTAGGTCTAGCATTGGTTTTGGTTTTGTGTTAAGTTTTAGGCTGAGGAGAATGCTTAGGTTTTGTTCTTTTTCTTAAGGTTAGGATTAAGGTAATATATAGGTATAGAATTTGAGTTAGAGTTATGATTCTAACAGGAGGGGTGGGGAAATATTTGGGGGTGGGTAATTGACGCGGGGGGAGGGGGTAATGTCATTTAGCCGTATTATTATGTTGCAATAAATATTTAAATTAAATAACATCATCTTTTCATGTAATTTGTCAACGTTGATATCGTCCTGCTGGTCAGACCTCTAAGGTAAATACTGATTTGGTTAGAGAGGAACTGAATGGTAGTACAGACCCTAACACTGCATAGCTACGGGATACATAGACCGAGTTATATCAACCCTAACTAACATAATGCCACCCAGACTAACGGAAGAACACTCATAGTGACAATCAAACAATAAGACCTAAGCTAATGCCACCCACACATCCCATAGTGACACCCCTAACTAACCTAACCCTAACCCCAACTATGTTAACGCCACACTTAACCTAACGCACCCAAGACTTCCACTAACGCCTCTCTACCTACTCTTACGCCACCCAGACTTTCCTAAATTTCCCCCACGCCAATTTATTTTCCTTAGCGTCGGCCCCACTGCACCCAACGCCACCCAGACTTCTCCTAACACCACCCCCTCACATAATCTAACGCCCCCTAAAGAAAAGATTATCGTTTCTTATCCTGCGTGTCAAGTTTGAAACAATTCGGTTAGGAAGAACTAGTTGGAATTCGCACCCCAAATTTTGATCCATCAAGAAGACAAAATAACGAACGAAACATTAAATTGAGGCTTGTAAAAAATACTAAATTTCTATATTTTATGGGCTTTTCTTTCTTGATGCAAGAGGAGAGAACTGCTATACAATAATATAATATTATGACAACACAAGATTACATTTTCTTTATGATACATTCAAGATAATGTTAATTAAACGTCCATGTTCATTATGAAATTAGATATTCAACAATATTTGCTCTTTGTTATTTATATCAATTTAATCCCATCAGCTAAATTTAGCTCTTGGCTCGCCAAGCCTTGACTCCAAATCAATGTTAACAAAAATCTAAAATTATATAAATACGCATATTGACAAATCATTTCTTGTTTTGTCTATTTTATTTCTTTCTTTTATATAAAAACAGAGAAACTAGAAACACCCAAGATATCTCAGGTCGAACCACCGACTTGATTAAAGATTATACTGGTGTCTTGAATTGTGACACCGTCTATGGTGACGCATCATGGTATCTCGGCGACGTACTGCTGTCGGCCACTACCCCGAGTCCCGAGTATACACATAAACAAAGCTGGAGTTTACAAGTAACTTCTTGCATTAATGCTAAGTTATCAAAGAACGAGTTCTTAACAAACCTTGAAATTTTATTATATTCAGGGTAGCAAAAAACATACTTTCTTAATTAAATGTTATAGTAATGCAACTTAAATAGACTAAATAAGACTACGAACTGTGCAATATATTATATTGCTTATACATATTTTTGTATGTTTTAGGCTTATTTTAACGTCATTTACTGGTACATATAAAAAATGAACAGATCGATAATGAGATACAGCAAACGTGTGAACATATTTTGAAAAATCCTTTTCCCCTAATCTACCACTAATTAAATTTAGAAAATAGACGCTTCTCATAAAATTATAACACATTCTATACATAGTTAATAGAAGTGCACAACACATAATTTTATTTTGAATATTTCCACCCAGATGTCAAGCCCTATCAAACACCGTGAGCTTACACTCGGATAATAGTTCTGCGTTAACCATCACTGCTGTTGAAGGAAACACATGTATGTATAAACAATACAATAAACGAAATTGTATGGATTTGCAGATGTTATACATTAACAAATAAAGATGGTTGTACAAAGTTCACCGTTTCCTTGCCTACCTATACCTACAACGGTATACATTTGAGAAGATGAAATAAAAAAAATAAAAAAAAAACAACGGATTAATACAATTATTCTCTAATGCAGCTTAGGTATGAAAAAAGCGTCGTCCTCCCCATGCATGATGAACCCAATGTTTTCACGGACGTTCGCGCCCAGTGAGAGTCCTCCCCACGCGAGACCACAATTTCCAACTCTTAAAGCGAAGACGAAATGGTTATGTCGATGCCGTATGTTATCATTATATTTCCAGATTCAAAGAAACAGACACTGAAAATAGAACCTGAACGCACAACAATTTACCCTGGAAGAAATGTAGTTCTTACTTGCTCTGATGCACCGATGGGTTGTGCTGTGAAAACCATTTTTCTGGTATGTTAGATTTGTTTTTATAAGTGGAAAATGGCCATATGTATATAAATAGCGTGCCTGTCCCCGCGCGTTGCCGCGGGGTTAGAAGAAAGTCTGACGAAACTTTTTATGAGGGTTTCATTAATGCGTTACCAATCCTATTTTTTTACAAGCTTTTTTATTTTTTTAGACATGTGATCTTGTTTTCCAAGACAGAGATATTTAAATGTAAACAACGTCTGCGCTATATTTCTAGATTCATATTTGTCGGGCGCCTCAGTTCGTGTGTATGAAAGCCTTGAGAATAAAGTAATCACTCTCCATAATAGTGAGGTAGAACACACTTTATCCATCGCCCAGGTGTCAGTGACGTAGAGAGATGCTATCGTGAGCCCCCGATTATACTACATCAAGGGCGCCGCGTACGGCCCCTTGCTCGGTTTAATCATCGAATGTTGTGTGCCGCTTTTTCAATACTGTAGGGTGCTTCTTAAAAACTAACGTAGATGCCATAGTTTATTGCACTTTTATGGGGGGTTTTGTCCAGGGGGTTCGTGTTGCGGGCGGTTTATATCCAGGGGGTTAATGTCGCGGGTTTTATGTCCAGGGCTTTTTGACCGGGAGCAAGTTCATGACTAAAAAGTATTGCGCACCAAATGAACATGGTCTATGCGCGTTTAATAGTGCGGAAAGAGTAGTATATAACAGACCACTTATTTCACAATATTGTAATTAGTTCATAAAAAAAATCTAATTAAGTCAAATTTAATTTCTTCAAGTCTTGACCCACGTGCCAACCTTGAAACAAATTTTTCAGTTAGAAGTGCCCGAAATTTCGCTCGCCCGTTTCGGTCTATGACGACAGACTGTTAACTGACAACAGAGGCAGCAAGTTCAATAAAAGCTTGTTCAAACACAGTTTTACTAACCAGTGTGTATTAGTTGGCAAAATTGTTGAATTACATTCTTCTTTAGGAAGGTATTATTATATTTTTAAGAGAGTAAAAACTGTCTTAGATTTTTTATATTAAACAAATAGGTTGATTCCAAACCTGTAGCTGAGAGCACTAAATCGATGACTGCTCAAATCACTATGAACAGCACTTATAGTGGGAAGAAAATAGCCTGCAGGCTGGAGCCATTCGAGAATATTACATTCGTAGATTCAGATGACATGGGGACCTTACCAACAGAAGATGCCAGTGTGTGCATGTATATTTATTAAATATTTGTTATTATTTGTAAAATATTTATTATACATCTATCTCTCGCATCTATTTATTTCCAAAGTCAAATAACGAATTTTTACATTTTCTTTTTTAAAGATAAAAAAATATAAACTTTATACAACATAATATTTCTTTTCTTGTACTACAAAGGCTACAAATAGGTTTTTGATTAATTATTATTAACTAATTATTATCATTAATTTAATTGACTTTTAATCAATATTTTAACTAGATATCAAGGTCACCACCGTGAAAGCGATTGTAATAGACGCGACTGGGGAAGAGCTTAAAACAGACACAACTTACAATATTGGAGCAGAAGGACCAACCATCACCTGCCAGACCACCCCAGCACCAGAAAGTCTAAACCCTGAAAAATTGTTGACGTATGAGTTTTTAACGGTTGGTGGATACAAATCTTCCTGCTATCCATCTAACGAATTTAGTACTACAGGCTGAAGTTAAATTTTCATTTCTTGTATTTTATTAACACATGCGTTTAAAATAAATACAGATAAAGTTTTCCGGCATGTAATTTAATTGCATTTTTTTTATATATATTTAATTTTTTTCTGTTTTGTTCGCGGAGTAGGTTCACTGCCATCTGCCAAGAGATGCCTTAAAGAAAATCTGATTACTATTATCCGTACCAAAAGATATAGAATTAACAAATGAAAACTAATATAAAACGTATAGTAATGTTCTGCAATACATCAATTGAATGATTAAATTAAATTGGTGATTTTGTTTTATTCCTCATGAATGGCAGCAGTGCTTTCTTGGCTTCTGTAGATTGTTTTCTCTTACCTCAGTAGTTGTGGTTACATAGGTCTAACATATTTATGCTTTTAAAGGCAAATAATTCACAGCTTTGTAAATATGTTACCGAAATGTTATTTAAATACATTTATCACTCTAAACCTGAATTATGGATGATCAAAATAATAATGCGATTAGTTATAGCTTTAAACTTTTGATTAACATGCCTAGTTAATCATCAAGCAAAACAATATTAATACACATTTGGGGTTGTAACTTCGAAAATGCTTTTTAAAAAATCTACAAATCAAATAATCTGCAAGTTTACTCGAATCAATACGTAAAGAGCTCCATAAAGTTAAAAGCGGATTCACTCGTTTTCGATGAGAAACATGAAAAGCGCAAGCGAGTTCAGTGCTATGCCTTTCTTAACCCCTTGATTTTCGGTGTAGAAGTTTTGCACTCTACCGGCCAATTGCGCCGTCTAATACTAGGGCTCGATGTAGTGTTCATAATTAATTGTTGAAAAGATTTTACACAAAAAAATGAAATACAAATATTTGTGTTTTTTAGTTTATGGGTTATTTAAATAGAAATTTACTCCATAATTAGTAACCCAAAATTCTTTTATATTTTCAGCCTAAACATGGGACAGTGCAACAAAACAGTGCCTCGAAGATACATAGAGTGCCTACCAATAAAATAAGTGATACAACTTACACATGCACAGCCAAATATGAAATGAAAAATTCACTTGCTTCAGTGCAAACTATAAAAGTAACTGTCTGTAAGTTGGATTTTATTCTTGATGTTGATATAGTCAGACAAAATATTCCTTCCATCTGTTGACTATTCTTGTTCACCCATTATGTCCTTCCCATCTGTTCCTTTTAAGAAAAATGTTGTATCGCACGAATAGAACCTATTTAGTATCTAGGATATTCAAAGATACATGTATTTTGCATATCATAACATTAAATATTCGATACCAGGTGCCAACAATGTGACTGTTGCTGCTAGCGGCACTGCTTTAAGTATAGGATCAACCCTAGTTTTGTCATGCGGCCTAGGACAAGATGCAACACTCACCTACACATGGCTTTTCAATGATAAAATTATCGATGGCCAAGCTGACTGGAAGATCCAACTCTACAACTTCACTGTGGCTGACATCGGACTGTACAAGTGTTGGGTTGGAAAGAGCCGTAGCTCTACATCAGATGCGACTTTTCATGCTAGTACGTTTTGGTGTCATATTTATTTAAATATAAATCATGCTGCCTCTCTTTCTCTCTCTCTCTCTCTCTCTCTCTCTCTCTCTCTTCTCTCTCTCTCTCTCTCTCTCTCTCTCTCTCTCTATATATATATATATATATATATATATATATATATACATATATATATATAGGCCTATATATTGAAATTGGGCAAAAACTAACTGGAGAGTACACTCTTTCTTTGCCATAGGCCTACTATATTTTCTTTTCATGCTGGAATGTATTTAAGGTATATTGTATCATTACATTAAACGTTAAGTTTAAAACAATGCTACAAGAAAAACAAATAATGCCAAAATACTAATTATGTACTTTAGAACATTCTATTTAAAGAGGTCAAAAATTCTTGATTTTTTTTTATAATGAATTTCTTTAAAAAAATATATTATCGCCCAACAGTTATGAAACCCACTGTCACTCGTGTTACCCCTCGGACCAGCTATAGTGCAGGCCAAGACTATCGTCTCAAATGTAACACTGGATCAAGTGTAACACATGGTTGGAGCTTCTCGTGGACAAAGTAAACATTTTCATTATAAAATGAATAAAAGAACGCCATATCTGTGTGTCTCTTACAACGAACTAGTCGTTCTGGCCAGACCCTGTACTGGCCTTTGTGAAAAACCTATCTGTAAAGGACCATGTTTATTAAGCAGCATATTCCCCGGCATGGACGTTTGACAAATAAAGATATTACCCTTAATCCGACTCTTACTTTAATTTAACAATAACCACAACCAACCAAAACCAAAACACAAAACAAAAACAAACGCAAACTTAACGCAAACTAAAATCCAAATCCAAACAAAACACAAACCCAAACGCAAACACAAACAAAACCCAAACCCAAACCCAAACCCAAACCCAAACCCAAACCCAAACGCAAACACATGGTTGGAGCTTCTCGTGGACAAAGTAAACATTTTCATTATAAAATGAATAAAAGAACGCCATATCTGTGTGTCTCTTACAACGAACTAGTCGTTCTGGCCAGACCCTGTACTGGCCTTTGTGAAAAACCTATCTGTAAAGGACCATGTTTATTAAGCAGCATATTCCCCGGCATGGACGTTTGACGAATAAAGATATTACCCTAAACCCAACTCTAACTTTAATTTTAACAATAACCACAACCAACCAAAACCAAAACACAAAAACAAAAACAAACGCAAATTTAACGCAAACTAAAATCCAAACCCAAATCCAAACAAAACACAAACCCAAACGCAAACACAAACAAAACCCAAACCCAAACACAAACACAAACACCAAAGGAACACAAACGTAATTGTTAATACAAACAAAAAGCAAACACTATCGCAATTATATATTCAAACACAAACGCAAACTCAAACGCAAACATAAACACAATACAAACGCAAGTGCAAACACAAACTAAAATGCAAAAACAAAAACGAACACAGATTAAAACGCAAATACAAAGGCAAACCTAAACGCAGACAATAACGCAGAACATAAACACAAATTTAATTGCAAACATAGACACAACGTGCTCAAAGTATAGTCATTGGCGACAAATCACACCCTACCGGGGCGCCAGCGAAACCGCCTGAAACAAAATAGTGAATGCCTATACTACCCCATCTTATTCATAGTCTGTTAAACTCACTCAACCGAATGTAGCGCCTCAGAGCCCACGGGAAGGCCCGGTGCGCCAAATAGCACACTTTCGGGGCGCCAGAAGACGACCGGTTTCGATTTAGTTAAGGACAATAGTAACCCTTCTTATACATAGTCTATCCGACTGTACAGATTAAAACGAACGTATACGCCATATCGTTCACGGGAAAGCCCGGGGCGATAAATAGCACCCTGTCGGGGCACCAGAGGACGCCCGGATTCGATTTAGATAAAGACTATAGTAACATTTCTTTTATATATCTGTCGCAATGCTTAAAACGCACGTAAGCACCATAGCGCTCACAGGAAAGCCCAGGGAGCCAAATTGAACTCTGCCAGGGCGCCGGCGGACGTGCCTGATTCGATTTAGTGAACGACTATAATACCCCCAGCTTGTCCGCAAACCGAAAAATAGAAGTAAACATAGAGGACATTTAGAAGCGGCTTCTAAACTGTTATTGATTAAAAATAATAATTAGTAAACGGTAGTCTATAAGACAGTATTTAAAATATCACTGTTTTACTACCACCTTGCTCTTTATAAATCCACGCTAATTATTCTTTTTTTTTTCCAACACTAAAACAAACTAATAAAAAGTATTTTCACCCCGATGTAATGTTTATTTTTAGAGGGAAGTAAAACAATTGTTATCTATCACGGGAAGTAATCGGAAGTAAATGAAGAAAGTGAAGCAATTTGTACACTTTTAAAATTTTTGTGAAGAATGATACTTTGTCATTGGCTTTTTTCTTTTCCACGTAACTTTAATTAAAATGGTTAGTTCGGAAAATGAGACTGGTTCTAAAAATCCGTCCACATTATTTTTTAAATAATTCATTTTGATAATAAACGCTTAAAGAATATTTGCCTATGACGACCAAGTCGAGTTTTTAAAATTACTTTTTGACAAGGGTCTTTCCGTCCGCTGTCGCATACATATAGAGGCAAATAATCAGTTCAAGCTTTATATATAAGATTCAACAAATGCTATAATGGAATTTTTATTAATTGTTCCTCCACCACCATACGTTTTTAAGTTATCATAATAGAAAGCCCTACCACACCTCTAACCTTAAATACATTTTAACAAATATTAACGAATCTTGATAGTTTAAAAACGTTTGGCTCCTCCGTTCTGAAAATTACATCATGAGTAAGATCACAGATACAACACCACCCATCAAAATTATACCTTTCGGGTTTTTTGAAACATGATATTCTTTCTAAAATACATATTGAACTTTTCAATACTTAGGTTATAGGCTTTTGAAAAAAATTGAAAGTAGAAAAAGTTTTACTTCCGCGGACCGGAAATCGTTGTTACAGAACTACTCATTTGATATAATACTTATACCAGAAATGTCATCAACCCTGCTGTAACGGTACTCAAGGTATCGTGTTCACAGACACACAAAGATACACACACACACAGATACACACAGACACACACACACACAAAGACATACGGACAAAATTTCAAAACTATGTTTTTCCTACTTAGGGAGGTGTAAAACCTAGAGATTTGTGACAGTCTCAATTTAGATTTTTTACACAATTACAATACTTCCTCTATAGTGCCTACTTCGAATACGAGAAAGTAAAAATGTATTGTCCATATACAATCTCCTAGTTTTAATATTTCTTTTTCTTAGAGATGATGCCACCTCTCCGATCAAAACCGACACCTACACACTGACAAATGTAGCTGCAGCCATACATAGTGGGAGATACACATGCACCTGTACATACCATGGCGCTTCCAGCACCAGTGATACGTTTATTATCGCTATCACAGGTTAGTCATGTGTCACCTTCTTCGTATTTGATAAAAATGTTTTGTTAACTGTCACACCTACTGGTTTATGTTCCCTATTTCTGATGTAATCGTCGCTAAAACCTTCTCTTATATTCTTATATAACAGTTAGGAGAATATCTCTTCTAGTTTTTACAAGCTTTTACTTCGTTCGCAACATCCGTTTGTGGCAAATCTAGTAGTACAATTTCGACCCTTTTCTAATGCAGCAATGTCATTAAAATTTTCCAGAGAACTTTTTTTTAGGGCAATGGATGAATATCTATTTTCTAATTTAATTAAATGTTAAATTAGTCATTAAAATTAATCGGTTTCGAAACAAAGGGGACGTAACAAGATTAAATGCTTACGATCACTAGATAGATTACTGTATTCAAAACACAAGGGGAGATAACTAGCTATACGATATGACCCAACCAATCTGATTCATGCCGAATGTTTACAATCGTAGAGCCGGGTCGAGTTAGTAAAAGCAACTAGAGGCAGATAAAAGAGTTTTTAAACGATTTGAAACTAAAGGGAAGTATGAAGTTTAAGAACTATCCGTCGCTGGGTTAGCTTGCTGTTGCATGTAAACTGGGATAACGGACGGCTGCTTTTACAAGGCAGATAAACTTCTTTCACAGATCGCGAGCTAATATTGAAAGCAATATTTTTAGTTGTGTCGACTAAATAAATTAGGAATCACTAAAAAGAAGAAAATGAAACAAATATGAATAAAAAGGGAGTGATCTGCCCTAAACTTTCTCGAATATTCTTAGATGACATTAATGGGTATGGTAACTCTAGTGCAGTCAGGATACAGAGTAATATAGATGTTTTTCAAAAATCAATTTTCAAAAACTTAATTTTGACAAGCTTTTTGTAACAGTTGAATGTAAGGTGAATGCATGTTTAGAGTATGTTTCAGAAAAAGGCGATATGAATCTAAATTATAGTGTGGGTGTGCGCATGCGCTAAAAGAAAAGGGAAGCAAGGGACAGAGAGCGGGAAGAAAAAAATGGCGTTGTTTTGGTAGTGAAGATGATGTACCTATGAATCAATAAAATTATGAAAATTATCAGAACAAGGGTTGTTTGGTGTTACACATCAGGCTTTAATATGAAGTAACACAACAGTTATGCGGTTAGTATTTGTCTTGAGTTTGTGCCATGAAGTTGGCAGTACAAAAGGGCCGTGACACTTTTATTTAACTTGCTTCCGTGGTCATCAGTCGTAAGTGTGGCTGTTTTCATATATCAAAACGTGCGAGCGAAATTTCGGGCACAATTTCTTTGAGATGCAATATGACAATTAATTGGATTCCTAATTAATATTTGAATAAATTAATTAAAATTTTCTGACTGTCTCACAACTACTATTCAGCACTATTATTCTCGCATTGTCATGTTCATTAAGTGCGCAAAAGTGTTTAGACATGTAACTCTATTATATCAAAAAAATTTAAGTAGGCCTACTGAAAAATGTTTTCATAATTTTTTTTTCATAAAAAAAACGTTTTAATAAAAAGTTTTTAACTTTTATGTAATAATGTACTAAAAAGTAGAAAATAAATTACACACTACTATTTAAATAACTATAAAGAAAAGCGTGGGTCACTTTAGTATCTATTGGATACCTTTACTAATATTTAGGAAGAGACCCACGCTTTTCTTTATAGTTATTTAAATAGTAGTGTATAATTTATTTTCTACTTTTTAGTGCATCCTATTATATAAAAGCCCTGTGCGCACTTCTCTCTCTCTCTCTCTCTCTCTCTCTCTCTCTCTCTCTCTCTTTCTCTGTCTGTCCGCAAAATATTTTCGCCGGCCAACACATCAGAATCTGCAGCGATATATGAAGATCTTTATACGGACTTTTGTTGAGAATAATATGTTAGATGTTTTAAATGTATAACCACAATTTTATTTAAAGAAGAAAAATAAAAAATACCAAACACGCGAAATATTTTTCAAAAAATGTGAATGGGTCTTTAGGTTCGTAACGTTAAACTATTGTTTTTATTGCATCATCAACACAAACGAAACGGCAGGCACAGTGTTATGATCACACCTCTCCAATACTATGTGATCATCTAGTGTATGAACTCTTGCTCGACAAGTTCTAACTTCACATTTCCAAATCTCTTTGCCTGCTGCTCCACTTATGGCTTTTATAAACAAATCACCAGAAACTAATATCCTATACCATTTCTGCGAGGTTACGAAAGAGGCCATAGATGAGTAATCACCACTAAAACTGCTTTGTTTTCATGCACACTACGACAAACTTAGCTCCGCGATTACCGCTGTTTGTCGTAAACAAGCATTTGTCACCTGATCACTAAGGTGTGACCCACGCATAACAATGGAATTTAGATGTTAGTTGTATTGTCCTTGGAGGTTGGATGTCTTTCTCTTAAGGCATGTCTCTGCCATCTTGATACGAAGGTGTGTCTTTATTGTTATTTCATTCCCTTTGATCTAGTTTCGTCCTCCTGACATGGTAGGATTGTCTTATATTTAGCAAGCTCCCCTACGCTGTCTATCAAAAAATTTCTTTAATCTTCACATACTATATTAGTAATCTTAATTTTAAAATTTTTAGTGCAATATGACAAATTTATGCTGCAAACATTTCTTAAAATTATATAGGCAAATAAACAATATTAAATATAGTAAACAATACCATACGACATTCAATAAAAAAATGTTCAGATCGACTAAAATCATCCAAAACACTATTCAAATTTTGCTGTGAGATATTTATTTGTCTGAGATATTTTGTTTGAGAACATTTGTCTTTAATATCAATTGTCCTGATGTATTTTCTCCTGGTATCTTTTGTCCGTGAGATCAATTGTCCTTGAGATAATTTGTCCTGAGATCATTTGTCCTGAGATCATTTGTCCGTGAGATATTTTGTCTGAGATAATTTGTCCTGAGATAATTTGTCATGGAACCGACAGCCTACTAATTTGGACAAATTTTAAATAATTCATAAAAATTAATTAGGCAACCAATTAAGTCAAATTTTATGTCATGTTGCATTGTCTTCATGTCTTGACCAACGTACCAAATACGACCCGTATCTGTCAGTTAGAAGTGCCTGACATTTCGCTCCGGCGTTTCGATCTAGACAGACAGACTGACGACAGACTGAAAACAGACTGACGACAGACTGACGACAGAGGAAGTAAGTCAAATAAAAGCTTGTAAAAGTTTTAATAACAAGCTTTTATGTAATAATGAAACAAAAAGAAATAAAAATGATTTTCTTTAAAAGCGTGGGTCTCTTCCTAAATATTATTAAAGGTATCCAATAGATAATTTAGTGATCATTTACGTAAATATCATTTTATGTCACAATACATTGTATTCGATTCTCGACCAACGTGAAAAGTTAAATAAAAATAATTAGGTCCGTTAGAAGTGTTTGAAATTTTGCTCACATGTTTCCAACTATGATGGACGAAAACAGAGGATGATGACATCAATATTTGATTTTAATTTCTTTTTGTCTAATTTATCGTCTGACAAAGATTAACGTTTGTTAACAATACTTTTTCAAGATGACATGTCATTATAGTTTGACAAAATGCATGGCAAATAAGTTAAGTACAACAATTAAATAGTCTTCATATCACACAGACAACGAATCTACTTCCTAGTTGTCTACTCTTTTATTTAAGGTTATAGTACCGGTGCAGTTGAAAACTAGCTTATCAAATGTAATATAGAATTAAAAAACACTCTTTTAAAGTTTATTTATTGTTTTTTTTTCAGACGGGGCTTCTGATTTGCAGTACAGTGTACTGATGATTACTTTCGTATCCCTGGGGTCACTTTTTTTCTAGAACATTCAGATACGCTTCACGGTTTCCTGTGTGTGTTTATATATATATATATATATATATATATATATATATATATATATATATATATATATATATATATATCGACTGTAAACAATAACAAATGGCGTTTAGTTGAGGTAATCGAGGAAAATTAGACATGACATTTATTTTTTCTTAAATAAAAGTTACGCCGTCAATATAAATGATTTTTTTTGTTTGTAATAGTATATCAAGGAAACAAAAATCCAGTAAGCGTAAAGTTCTCCTTTAGTTAACAAAATTAAACTTCGAAGGGTTTTTCAGATTTGTAGCATGTATTTAATTTGTCATTGAGTATTTTATCTCTGCAGTATAGTGAATATTTATAATTATTTAAATTATTTTCGAAATGTTGACTGTACTTACAATTTCAAATCTACACAGCGGCATTTTAAGCACATGCGGTAAAATGTTTGAAACTGCCATTTTTAAAAATTTAACTGGTTTTATAGTTTTGCATGCTATTGTTACAAGTCCATTTCAAATTATTTTTTAACAATTTTAGTTGTATAAAAATTAAAAACGTGTATCATGTTTTCATACACATTTATACCATATGTGCGTAAATGTGGTAATTATCACACTTTTACAGTCCATGTGACCTGCATGTTATTATCTGCTTAATTTGTAATTTTCTTTAAAGACTAGATATTTTATAAAATAGATATGTATTTAATATATTTGAACGTTATTTATAAATAAAACTTACCAGGTATATTTGGAGGTAATTATAAGAGAAAACGCGTTTTATTTTATACTATTTTACACAACCCTATGTTTCTATTGAATAGTACTTGCACACTAGAGACTCGTTAGTAAATAAGAAAACATTTAATGACAGAAATACTAATCTGTTTGAGAAAAAATTAAAACATCTTGGGATTACAACCATTTTAATACACACACTCATAGTTACGCGCATACACACGTATAAACACATTCGTCTAGAAAATCTATTTTGTAATTCTTTTATAATTTAATAAAGACAGTTTAAAAAAAAAAGCTCTTTGTCTTTTTCTTCAATTGTTTCGACTCTTGTTAGGCTGAAAGGTTATAAGAACAAAATTCATTGAATTTAATAATTTGTTGCTACACTCACACTTATCCGGATAAAAATAAAAAGGACCAGCAAACTTGATATTGTGTAATGTAAATATGATTTAGCTCAGGGCTGTGTAAGATCTACAACAATGAAGTCGTCTATGTTTTAAAATATCGCTCCGAATGAGTAGCTTCTGTTATTAGATGCAATGCAATATTTTAAAACCAACTCGTACATCTTTCAATAAAAATAAAACAGTTCTATGTAAAATATTCAAGGTCATCTATATAACCACATGGCCGTGATTTGTAATCATTACGTACATTTAATGGGGTGAGCCTCACAAAATTTGCCCAAGAGCTTTCGAAAATTTCTCGTACGTCTACACCCACTATAATGGGAGAAAACATTTAATGCAAAGGTTTCCAAACCTTTCTAAATAGCGACCCCATTTTATATAGGTCAAGTGACTTTCCATTACCATACAAATTAAACAAAAAACTAATATGTTAGATTGAGTTTTATCTTAAATTTATGTTTAATTATATAAGTGTAGCTATTGATTGTTATTAACTTGTTTCAAGATTCAGAGATACGTATTATTAAAGTCCATTGTCTTTGTTCACATTGGGGTGCTTTCAGAGCTTTTTGGCGTGATTTAGTTTTACTAAAGAAGGCATGACAGTGAATCATGATATTGAATTCCCTTTTGTTGTAGAGCTAGGTCTGTGACCTATTTCTGTAAGAATACTGAAAGATAGGTGGTTCATCATACGAACAAACCTTCCCTATTTTATTTACAGTATTCGTGCACTGATTTCTTTTGCAGTCTGCACTTTAACATATTCATATATGTCTGATATTCGCTCCTGAATTGTAATTTTAGACATAGACATTCGTTGCATCCTTACTTCATTGGAATATCTACAAAAAAAGTTCACTATATACAACATACAGGGTGCGATGAGTTTTACGACAATTGTATTTTTTTTGTTTAAATGGAAATTTGCAACGCGACTTCATTTAACGCCTGCACAAATGCTGGGCACATTTGCTAAAACGGTATTTTAAATTATTTTTTTGCGTTTTGAAGGGTTCGTAGAGCCATTTGTGAGAACAACTTTCCCGTATACATGTTTTGCCTTCTCTATTCCATTGCTAGTTAAGTTTGAACAGCCGTTTTTATTGTAGTTTTCTGTTTAAGTTGAAGACACATCAGAAAACTCCACACGAGGGTGAAAAGGGAGGAGGAAGGAGGTCGCGACCCATAGATTGCGGACCCGTGCTCTGGTTTTTACGACGATTTCTGCGTGTGCATCAATGAAGATTATCATTTAACATAAAACTCGTGCAAGATCACCGATACCCCTTGACGCAGTTACTGGTACGTTTTGTACAATTTTTGCAATCGAGAGAACGTTTACCAAAAAGAAAGGGTCGTTTAAGCGAGCTATAAATCGATCAGATTATGTGAAGGTTTGCCAAAATATTGAAATAAAAATATAATTTTGTTACTTTTAGTTTATTTTTCGGAACAAGGGAGTGGTTAGCTAAATTTTCTAAACACAATCAATGCAAAAATGTACTTCAAAAACAGCGTCAGAAAAATCTTTATTTTTCTAAATTAAAAAAAAAATGTTTATTATATTTTAAAATATTGAAATTGTGGGTTATATAATGTAACATTTTTAAAATTAAATTCTTGTTGAACGAATGATTAAAAAATATTTTCTCTGCCTTGGTAAAATTGATTTGCTTCAAAACAACACATTTTTCTATTGTTTCATATTATTTAAACTTATTCAAGGAATTGCATTAATATTTAAACACCAGTAATATGTCTACCTTAAGATCAAGAACACCAGTTTTTATTTTACTTTAGGTTTACTAGATGTAGTTGCATTTCTGCGTATTCCAGATATTCAATATTACCATTTGCAGAGGTCCATTGAATTGCATTACAATCATTAAGCTTTGTCCAATCCCCAGTGAGTTTGACATAACTGCAAGCTTTATACCACCAGCCACCTGCACAACTTTTAGCACAGTTTTCTTTCAAAATATCATTGTCTCTATCAAATGTGGAAAAGGCCATTCCATTGTTGGCAGTGAACAGGTCTCTAGGGTCGTCAGTATTGTTGTTAAAATGTAGCCTATAGAAATCTGCTTCGTTGCCCACTTTGAAATCACGGTACACCTTGTACATGGATTTTCCTTTATATTTAAAGTGACACCTTAGTTCACTATAGCCCTGCAGAAATATAAAAACTTTTTTTTTGAAAAATTGTTTTAATAACTTTAAACCACAATGTAAACAACACAGTTAAAATAATCATGAATTGTGAATTTTTCGAGATTTTAACTAACAGCACTTTGATCACTAATATGACCTTGTCTTTTTTTATACGATCTAAATGAAACAGTAATTAAGTCGTACTTGCTGTTACCAGAAATACGCTGAAAACTTGATGTAGAGCTACCCATTTCATATAATACTTAAATTTGACGTTTCTTTAACCTAGCTGTATCGGTTCTCAAGTAATCGTGTTCAAAGACAGACACATGGACATACATAAAAACACACACACCAACATACAGACAAGATTGCAAAATTAAGTTTTTCGACTCAGGGAGGTCTAAAACGACAAGATTAGCGAAAATCTCAATTTCGATTTTTTTTCATGATTACAATACTTCGTCTATACTCTGTATATACAAGTAAGTAAAAAGGATTTAGTCTGTTAAATTCTTTTTGTAACAGATAACACGTAAGAGGCCAGAGTGCTGTTTATAATTTAAAAATTACTATGACACTTGACACAAAAGCACGAAGGAATACTGTTTGATCTTAATTCTCTATTCTTGCCTTTTGTGGATTTCTTTGCATATAACCGACCGTTTTATAGTGGGGTTTTTTAAATTAAAAATTACTTAAAATGTCAATGGTGTATTTATTGCATTCTCGATACAACTATATTAAGGCAAAACATGCAAGTTAACTGAAATGTTAACGAACATTGTGTGTAAGGTATGAAATCCAGTCATTTCCAATCCAAAAATCACCATCAAATGATCCAAAGCCAATTTTATAATCGACCCAGCCCCTTGAAAAATTCACACCTCCTTTAACACGCCTCTGAAATTAATGGAACAAGAAAAAGCAACAACAGGGAATCTTTAAATACGTGTACTAATATTTAAATGAAATTTAACACAATGAAAATACATACCAGTATGACAATCGGTTCTCCCGAATCCCTTTTGACGCCACATAAGACAATTTTGTTTCCACTTATTTCAGCAGTCCATTGTTGTTGAACATCAGAGTTACTTCCCTTAACGCACTAGATAAGTTAAAATTTAAACATAAGTATTTTGTTCAAAACAAGTTGAAAATGAGATCGTTGTATGCATAATGAGGATTAATGCCCACACAAAATAACCATACGACATATGTATACACATATTTATTATATATATATATATATATATATATATATATATATATATATATATATATATATATATACACATTTTTTTCTTATTATTATTACTGCTATGACAATATTTCATGAATTTCATAATTTTTAAAATGATTTATTACTTTAAATTAAAAAATATGTGTGTGTGTGTGTGTGTGTATGTATACGTATAATATATATATACATATGTGTGTGTGTGTGTGTGTTTGTGTGTATGTAAACAGTAACAACAAATTATATTTTTGTGTTGTCAAAAACGGGGGACCTTTAAAGTTTATATTTTGGACTCATTCAAATCTTCTAAATGTTTAAAATTGAGACGTAAAACAGGTCAGTATTTTTTGCCTTAAATGTACATTTTGGAGAATCTGGTAATTTTCCATTTTCCTAGTTACCAAAAAAAGTCAAATATGTTTCTCATTCGTTTTATTTATATTCAAGCGCTTTAAAATGTACGAGCCGACCAGCGGCATATCATACGCCGCTATTTAGTTGTTGTTATTTCTACGTTTCAGTAATTCATAATTTGTGAATTCGACAGTACCAACGCTGCCACTGAAAGTATTTCTTTAAAACACTATAAGTAGCTCGTTAAGGACGATAACCCCCCCTCCCCCCTCCGTTAAAGTAAACTCCACTTAGTTACCCCCCCCCCCTCCCCCCATACGTTTAAAATCGTTTCAAACTAAATTATCTGACCCTAATAGTCGTCACTAAACCCGGCTCTGCTAGTAAACATTTAGCGTGAACCACAGCTCACCAGACCATGTAGGGGTGGGGGTGGTAGGGAACGCACTTAAAGCTTGTTTTCTAGCGTCTCCCAGAACAAAATTATATGAAGAAATATCGTTTAATAAGGTCACGGTCAGTCGCGGTCAGTTTCCTGGCACTTTAAACGCGATTTTTGAGATCGCTATATTTTCCTCGTTAGATGGAGCTTCAATATCGCAAAAAGAACATTACTTAGTAAACTTTCCGAACAACGCCCAGTTTGTTTCGCTTCACTTTTCCACGTAAGTAATACTTACACTGAAATGTGTTGGTCTAACAGTAGAAGAGTCCATATTTATAGTTGGGTCTAAGAGAAGATCCAAACTTTTCAGTTTTGGTTTACTTATATCTGGAAAAAGTTGCTAAAATTGAGGTGTCAGGGTTAGGGTTTTTAGTAAAAGTAGCATGAGTATTCGACGCTCAACAACACATTAGCCAAAGCCAAACTAGCACTAAACATTATAGTTTGACCTTGACTTGGACTCCCTCCCTGACCCTGACCCTAAACCTCAACCTCAACCTCAATTTCAACCTCAACTACAACCACAACCACAACCACAATCACAACCACAATTTTGGTTTACTTATATCTGGAAAAAAGTTGCTAAAATTCAGGTTTTAATTTAAGTAAATGTAACATAAGTTTTCAACGCTCAACAGCATATTAGCCACAACCAAAACTAACACTAACCAACAGCCTCACCCCAATCACTTGCGACTCTTTTAGCCTGACTCTGACTCTGACTCTGACACTGACTCTGACTCTGATTCTGACTCTGATTCTGATTCTGACTCAGATTCTGACTCTGACCCTGACCATCAACCTCAACCACTACCTCAACAACAACCACAACCATAACCACAACCACAACCACAACCTCAACCTCTACCCAAACCACAGCAACAACCAAAATCACAACCACAACCACAACTATAATCACAACATCAGGTTTAAACTTAACCTTAACCGCAACCTCAAATTTAACCTAAACTTCAACCTAACCTCAACCGCAACCTCTGCCTCTACCTCTACCTCAACTACAACCAAAATCACAACCAAAATCACAACCGCAACCACCTCAACCTCAACCACAAACACAAATATTACACAAACACAACATCAACCACAACCACCATCTCAGCCTCAACTACGACCAAAACCTCAACTATAAACACAAACACAACCACGACCACAACCACAACCAAATCACAACCAAAACCACAACCACAACCACAACCTCAACGTCAAAGTAAAAAGTTAATTTTAAAAAGATACGTTGAAAACAAATTAAAGAAGTTGAGTATATACAATATCTTACTTTTATCATTGTCTGCTCTGGCACATAGGTAGGGTTGAAAGAAAAGCAAAACAATTGCACATAGCACACGTGTGAAGTCCATGTTCTCAATCAGCTTGTCAAACTGGAGTAGGTCTAACACTTGGTCTGATAATATTGGGTTTTAATTTTTTATAACATAATATTTTATTTGTGCAACAGCTTGTGAAGTTAATTTCTGGTTTGTCAAATAGGCAATAAGTGGGGGTTTTAATTAAAATTTTTGATGAGAATTTTGATTTATACATAGCTTTAATTGTTATGGCGTCTACATGTCTTGAGTAAAGGGTTTTCACAAAAACGTTAAAAATGTGGATTTGCAAATATACATTGAGGTGTGGTATTTCACATACACATTGACACTAAAAAACTGTGATGGTGACATGAAATGTTATAGCAGATATGTGAATCGGAACAAAAATGGTCACCTGCTCATTGTAATGATAGAAAGTGTGTGTATGAGGAGGACGGTGAGTTGGGGGGGGGGGGGGGGGTCGTGCTCTAAACTGTCCGCAATGCGAGTTAAGTACCATTTAGAGCTGGATTGACTCATTGAGTTTCTACGGAACCCGATAATGTTGACGTCATAACTAAATTAAAATTAGGAAATACATTGAAACTAGTCAGTATTATGAATTATGAGAAAACAAAACAAATAAAAAATGTTTCGCCCTTAAATGTTTCTACTTTTACATAATGCTTATCGCTGTTGATGCTTTTTCAGCATTTTTGTCTTAGATTGCTTAGTATGTAATGTATGCTTAGTTTTGGAAAAGGGCGAACTGTCTAGTTGCTATATAACACTGGACACTTTATATTTCTTTAATGTCTGGGCATGATAAGGTTAAGTCTTGGCCACACATTATTTAATTTTTATTGCAAATTTAGATTTTTAATAGCTGTTAACCAGCAGTTTTATGTTCTGGATTACTGATAAAATGATTAATTATTGATATATTTTTAAAGAAATATCTAATAATTTTATATTAAAAAAATAGCGTATGATACGAAAGACAATAGAGTTGATGTTCTGTAGGAGAAGAGATTTTTTGTTTGACGATATTTTTTCAATATGATAATTAATATACTGTTAGAAGAGTAAAGTGTATTATGAACTTTGAAAATAGGTGTCAGGTAAATGAGAAGAAATGTTTTGTTCTTGAAATTTTTTTGAAGACAATTGATTAACCTAAAAAAACCCGCATTCAAATATAAAACAGGGCAGTATAACGATTTTATTTATGTTGGAAATAAGCAGTCAAATTGACAGCTCAATCTATTTTTAAACATCACGAGACAACAGATGGATATTACAATTAGAATTAAAATAAAAATAAAAAATATTCGAATTCAAATTAATTTCATGAAATTATAAATTGGCCAACTCAGTTGTTTTAATTGGTATTAGCAATTTAAGACAGCATTTTAATTTCTTAATAATTCTCTCGTCAAGCCTATCCTTATAATTGTTTTTCTATCGATTTTTGTGAGAAGCTAATTGAAGTTATAAAATAATTATTTTTAATTCGATGGTCAACATAAGGATGACGATGTAGATGATGATAAAGATCAGGATAAGGAGAAATATAAGGATAAAGGTGAGCGAAGGAGTAAACTTAAAGGTATGCGTTAGGATAAGGGACGGGGTTAAGGTTAAGGTTAAGGTTAAGGTTAAGGTTAAGGTTAAGGTTAAGGTTAAGGTTAAGGTTAAGGTTAAGGTTAAGGTTAAGGTTAAGGTTAAGGTTAAGGTTAAGGTTAAGGTTAAGGTTAAGGTTAAGGTTAAGGTTAAGGTTAAGGTTAAGGTTAAGGTTAAGGTTAAGGTTAAGGTTAAGGTTAAGGTTAAGGTTAAGGTTAAGGTTAAGGTTAAGGTTAAGGTTAAGGTTAAGGTTAAGGTTAAGGTTAAGGTTAAGGTTAAGGTCAAGGTTAAGGTTAAGGTTAAGGGATACATAGACCCGAGTTATAACAAATCTAACTAACATAATGCCACCCAGACTAACGGAAGGACACCCATAGTGACACTCAAACAATAACACCTATGCTAATGCCACCCACACATCCCATAATAACACCCCTAACTAACCTAACCCTAACCCACTACTATGTTGACGCCACACTTAACCTAAAGCACCCAAGACTTCCACTAACGCCTCTCTACCTACTCTTACGCCACCCAGACTTTCCTAAATTTTCCCCACGCCAATTAAGTTTACCTAGCGTCGGCCCAACTGCACCCAACGCCACTCAGACTTCTTCTAAAACCACCTCCCCCCCTAATCTAACGTCCCCTAAATAAACATAAGTTTGAAACAATTCTGTTAGGTAGAAATAGTTGGAATTCGCACCCAAAATTTTGACCCATCAAGAAGACAATATAACGACGAAACAATAAATTGAGTCTTGTAAAAAATGCCAAATTTCTATATTTTATGGGCTTTTCTTTCTTGATGCAAGGGGAGAGAACTGCTATAAAATAATATATTATTATGACAGTACAAAATGACATTTTTCTTTATGATACATTCAAGATAATGTTAATTAAACGTCCATGTTCATTATGAAATTAGATATTCCACAATATTTGTTTTTTGTTATTTATATCAATTTAATCCCATTAGCTAAATATAGCTCATGGCTCGTCAAGCCTTGACTCCAAATCAATGTAAACAAAAATCTAAAAGTATGTAAAGACGCATGTTGACAAATCATTTCTTCATGTGCTTATTTTATTTATTTCTTTTATGTACAAACAGAGAAACTAGAAACACCAACGATATCTCAGGAGACAGATAGAACAACCGACTTGGTGACAGGTTATACTGGTGTCTTGAATTGTGACACAGTCTCAGGTACCGCATCATGGTATCTCGGCGACGTACTGCTGTCGGCCACTTCCCCGAGTATACACATAAACAAAGCTGGAGTTTACAAGTAACTTCTTGCATTCATGTTAAGTTATCAAAGAACGAGTTCTTAACAAACCTTGAAATTTTTATATTCAGGGTAGCAAAAAACATACTTTCTTAATTAAATGTTATAGTAATGCAACTTAAATAGACTAAATAAGACTATGAACTGTGCAATATTTTATATTGCTTATACATATTTTTGTATGTTTTAGGCTTATTTAAACGTCATTTAGTGGTACATATAAAAAATGAACAGATCGATAATGAGACACAGCAAATGTGTAAACATATTTTGAAAAATCCTTTTCCCCTAATCAACCACTAATTAAATTTAGAAAATAGACGCTTCTCATAAAATTATAACACATTCTATACATAGTAAATAGAAGTGCACAACACATAATTTTATTTTGAATATTTCCACCCAGATGTCAAGCCCTATCAAACACCGTGAGCTTACACTCGGATAATAGTTCTGCGTTAACCATCACTGCTGTTGAAGGAAACACATGTATGTATTAACAATACAATAAACGAAACTGTATGGATTCGCAGATGTTATACATTAACAAATAAAGATGGTTGTACAAAGTTCACCGTTTCCTCGCCTACCTATACCTACATCGGTATACATTTGGGAAGATGAAATAAAAAAAAACGGTTTAATACAATTATTCTCTAATACAGCTTAGGTATGAAAAAAAAAGCGTCGTCCTCCCCATGCATGATGAACCCAATGTTTTCCCGGACGTTCGCGCCCAGTGAGAGTCCTCCCCACGCGCGACCACAATTTCCAACTCTTAAAGCGAAGACGAAATGGCTATACCGATGCCGTATGTTATCATTATATTTCCAGATTCAAAGAAACAGACACTGAAAATAGAACCTGAAGGCACAACAATTTACCCTGGAAGAAATGTAGTTCTTACTTGCTCTGATGCACCAATGGGTTTTGCTGGGAATGGGTTAGGGTTTTCTGGTATGTTAGAATTGTTTTCATAAGTGGAAAATGACCATATGTAGGCCTATATAAGTAGCGTGCCCGTCCCCGCGCGTTGCCGCGGGGTTAGAAGAAAGTCTGGCGAAACATTCTATGAGGGTTTCATCAATGCGTTACCAATCCTATATTTTTAGACATGTGATCTTGTTTTCTAAGCCAGAGTTTTTTAAATGTAAACAACGCCTGCGCTATATTTCTTGGATCATATTTGTCGGGCACGGGTTTACCTACACAATCGCACAGCGCTCCTCAGTGCGTGTGTATGAAAGCCTTGAGTATAAAGTAATCACTCTCCGTAATAGTGAGGTAGAACACACTTCATCCAGCGCTCAGGTTTCAGTGACGTAGAGAGGCGCTGTCGTGAGCCCCCAATTACACTACCGCAGTGGCGCCGCGTACGGCCCCTTGCTCGGTTTAATCATCGAATGTTGTGTGCCGCTTTTTCAATACTGTAGGGTGCTTCTTAAAAACTAACGTAGGTGCCATAGTTCATTGCACTTTTATGGGGGGTTTTGTCCAGGGGGTTCGTGTTGCGGGGGGTTTATGTCCACTGGGGTTTATGTCGGGGGGTTTATGTCCAGGTGTTTTTTGACCGGGAGCCAGTTGCATGACTAAAAAGTATTGCGCACCAAATGAACATGGTCTATGCGCGTATAATAGTACGGAAATAGTAGTATATAACAGACTACTTATTTCAGAATATTGTAATTAGTTCATAAAAAATAATCTAATTAAGTCAAATTTAATGTCTTCAAGTCTTGACCCACGTGCCAACATTGAAACGAATTTGTCAGTTAGAAGTGCCCGAAATATCGCTCGCCCGTTTCGGTCTATGACGACAGACTGTCGACTGACAACAGAGGAAGAAATTTCATTAAAAGCTTGTTCAAACACAGTTTTATTAACCAGTGTGTATTAATTGGCAAAATTATTCAAAAGTAACAATGCGGTGCACGTTGATCCGTTTACAGCGACCCTAAAAAAAAACTACTTTGTAAAGAAACTTCTTTAGGAAGGTATTATTATATTTTTAAGAGAGTGATAACTGTCTTAATTTTTTTTATATTACACAAATAGGTTGATTCCAAACCTGTAGCTGAGAGCACGAAATCGATGACTGCTCAAATCACTATGAACAGCACTTATAGTGGGAAGAAAATATCCTGCAGGCTGGAGCCATTCGAGAATATTACATTCATAGATTCAGATGACATGGGGACCTTACCAACAGAAGATGCCAGTGTGTGCATGTATTTTTATTAAAAATATGTTATTATCTGTAAAATATTTATTATACATCAATCTCTCGCATCTATTTATTTCCAAAGTCAAATAACGAATTTTTACATTTTTATATAATCTTTTCTTATAGTACAAAGGCTACAAATAGGTTTTTGATTAATTATTATTAAGTAATTATTATCATTAATTTAATTGCCTTTTAATCAATATTTAAACTAGATATCAATGTCACCACCGTGAAAGCGATTGTAAAAGACGCGACTGGAGAAGAGCTTAAATCAGACACAACTTACAATATTGGAGCAGATGGACCAACCATCACCTGCCAGACCACCCCAGCACCAGAAAGTCTAAACCCTAACTTATCGTTGACGTATGAGTTTTTAACGGTTGGTGGATGCAAATCTTCATGCTAACTGTTAATGGATATAATAAAACTTTTTATGAGCGTAATTATACAAACTAATGTTAAATTTACATTTCTTGTATTTAATTAACACCCTCGTTTAAATAGAGACAGATAAAGTTTTCCGGGATATAAAGGCGTGTTAATGTGGCGAAGCAGAAACTATTTTATTTCATATTTAGACATAACGTTCAAATGATTTCCATAAATGGATCAGAAATTCTGTTTTTTTTTATGCTTTCAAAATTGATTTAATCCGGAAAAAATATAAATGAAAGACACAGAATTACAGTTTTACGCCTAGAGAAAAAATTATAACAAACTAACAATGTTTGTTTCAGATATTTTTCTCTTTGTGGGTTGGAATACACAGTTAACAATATACTTATATATATATATATATATATATATATATATATATATATATATATATATATATATATATATATATATATATATATATATAATTTCGTTCGCGGAGTCAGTTCATTGCCATCTCACAAGAGATGCCTGAAATAAATCTGATTACTAACTACACTGTTTCAGTATATCATATAAATAAATACCTTTTTAACAAGAAATTTAGAATTACCAAATGAAAACTAATAAAAATATAATTTTCTTAAATACTTTACTTGAAGGCCAAAACATTATGGCTTAAGTAACATTAGTGATTTTGTTTTGTTCCCCATCAATGGCAGCTGTGCTTTCTTGGCTTCTGTAGATTGTTTTCTCTTACCTCAGTAGATTAGGTCTAACATATTTATGCTTTTAAAGCACGGGGGAATGAATTCATAGCTTTGTACGTGTTACGAAATATTACTTAAATACTTCTACCACTCTACACCTGAATTATGGATGATCAAAATAATAATGTGATTAGCTATAGCTTTCAACTTTTGATGCACATGCCTAGTTAATCATCTAGAAAAAAAAATAGTGATACATATTTGGAATTGCAATTTCGGAAACGCTTTTTTAAAATGCCACAAATCAATTTGAAAGTTACTTAAATAAATATGTAGAGGTCCATAACGTTAAAAGCGACTGTTCCGGATCCGATTGTCCGGTTTGTCATATGAGAAACCGGTGAAGCTATACCTTCTTTAACCCCTGGCTTTGTCTGGATGTTTTGAACTCTACCGACAGGCGGCGCCTTGTAATACTAGGGCTCAATGTTGTGTTGATAAGGTTGAAAATAATTCAAAATAATGAAATGAAGATATTTTAGTTTAAGGGTTTATTCAAATAGAAATTTACTCTATAATTAGTGTCAGTGGCGTAGCTACGATTTTCGAGCCCCTATGCAAAAATTATAATTGGGCCCTTAAGTCAATCGGTAAATTATGTATTTTTTTATAGTCCTAATTGTGTATTTATACTGTATTATTATTTAGTACCCTGTAAAGTAAAATACCTTTGATTTTATATAACTTTTATGTAAAAATAAACCCAAAAATTAATTGTAAGCCTGTAACATTTAAGTAACCTAACACAATACCGTCACAGGGCAGAGGCCAGGGGCCAGGGGCGGAACTACAGTGCCGCCAGACCTCGCAATGCGGGGGGGGGGGGGGGAGACACGCCATTTAGGGGCCCACAGCCGACCATAATAATTGTTTTATAGTTATATTTTTAAAATTTACTTGCATTTTTGACTTGATTGTTGTTTTGTAATAAAGATTACCGTAGCGGTTGGGGTTATCTTTATTCTATAGACACCACCCCACGCTCTTGTATATTCTTTTTTCCTTTGTTTTTAAATCACTGTGAAAGCCGAGTCCTCTTTCTCCTTCAATCAAACTTATCAAAGATAAGCAAACGTTCAAACCCTTTCCATGACTTATTTCCCTTTTATAAATAAACAAATAGGGGTGCTCATAAGCTATTTTTAATAGGTTTGTACTAAACAAATTAAAAAGCAATTACTTCTCTTAATTATTATTTTTTGTAAAGTACTTACTAAAGAATGACATTCTATAAAATGGAAAAGTATTTAAAATTAATAATATAAATACAAAAAATACTTAAAAATAAACATTGCACGAGACACCATTACTTATACAAAGCTTTCATGGTTTATATTCTTTTGACCGATTACAAGTGCTTAAGATAAAAAAAAGAATAATAATTTAGTTTGTAACAAATATGGAATCTTTTCAAACTACATTAGAAAGAGTTTGACATTTTTATAGTTTCAGCAACGCAAAATTTAAGTTTAATTTAATATCCTTATGATACTACTGAACGTTTATATCTATTGATTTATATTTTGTTATTGCTGAATTATAAACAGATACGGGTTTCATCTAACCTCAGATCCTTTGTAATTTGTGGCTATTTGTTGTACTTAACCATTATAATTATTCCCCTTTGGCTTTTCTTTTATTATTTTTTAATATATATATATATATATATATATATATATATATATATATATATATATATATCAACCATCACATATTTGACATGATATGCATTATTGCTAACTTATCTCTTGTCACTGTTAAATATGCTGTAACTTTTTTATTGCCAATAAAAATATAAAAAAAAAAATTCATTTGAAAAAAAAAACATTTTTTTTCAAAACCCGAACAGGTCAGCAATGAGTATCCTATGTTCGTATTTTTGTATATATATATATATATATATATATATATATATATATATATATATATATATATATATATATATATATATATATATATATATATATATATATATAGGCCTATATTTTTAAGTGAGGGGGCCTAAAAAAAATTTTTGCGAGGTGGCCCTTTTTTTCTAGTTCCGCCACTGGCAGGGGCCTCATAGTTTAGGCGTGACACCATGACGAAAACTCGTAAAATGTACTGTAAAAACTTTGTTTTATTTAGTTAAAAAATAAAATATTAAGGAGAGGGGTAGACACTCCACCGGAAATGCAAAACTGTTAAACGGGGTGGGAGTGACACTTACTAAACGCACCGGGTGATATCGAACATTGTGACGCCACTAACCAAATACACATTTTTAAAAGTTGATCATGATTTATTTAGATTTGTTTTTTTTCCTTATACGTTTGTAAAGGTGTCATCCATAAATAGAAATTTACTCTATAATTAGTGACCGAAAACGCTTTTATGTTTTTAGCCTAAAAGTGGGAGAGTGCAAAACAACGCGTCAAAGATATATAAAATACCTACTAATGAAGAGAATGATAAAACTTATACATGCTCAGTTATATATGGAAGTGACAATGCAGTGGCGTCAGTGCAAACTATAAAAGTAACTGTCTGTAAGTTGGATTACATTCTTGATGTTGTTACAGTCAGACTTTAATGAGTCATTTCATCTGTTAACTATTCTTGTTTTATCGCATGAATAGAACCTATTTTGTGTCTAAGATATACAAAGATAAATGTATTTTGCATATCATAACATTAATTATTCGATACCAGGTGCCAACAATGTGACTGCTGCTGCTAGTGGCACTGCTTTAAGTATAGGATCAACCCTAGTTTTGTCATGCGGCCTAGGACAAGATGCAACACTCACCTACACATGGCTTTTCAATGATAAAATCATCGATAGCCAAGCTGACTGGAAGATCCAACTCTACAACTTCACTGTGTCTGACATCGGATTGTACAAGTGTTGGGTTGGAAAGAGCCGTAACTCGACACCAAATGCGTCTTTTCATGCTAGTACGTTTTGGTGTCATATTTATTTAAATATAAATCATGCTGCCTCTCTTTCTCTCTCTCTCTCTATATATATATGTTTATATAAATATATAAATATGTATATATATATATATATATATATATATATATATATATATATATATATATATGTAGGCCTATATATTGAAATTGGGCAAAAACTAACTGGAGAGTACACTATTTCTTTGCCATAGGCCTACTATATTTTTTTATGCTGGAATGTATTTAAGGTACATTGTATCATTATATTAAACGTTAAGTTTAAAATAATCCTATAAGAAAACTAAATAATGCCAAAATACTAATTATGTACATTAGAATATTCAATTTAAAGAGGTCAAAAAAAAAGCTTAATTTTTTTCTTAATGATTTGTTTATGTAAGCAAAATAAAGCTAGACTAATTTCTTAAAAAATAATTATAATATCGCCTAACAGTTATGAAACCGACTGTCACTCGTGTTACCCCTGGGACCAGCTATAGTGCAGGCCGAGACTATCGTCTCAAATGTAACACTGGATCAAGTGTAACACATGGTTGGAGCTTCTCGTGGACAAAGTAAATGTTTTCATAATAAAATGAAGAAAAGAACGCCATATTTGTGTGTCTCTTATAACCGATTCGACTAATGATATAACGGAATTTTAGCTAATTGTTCCCTCCACCATCATAATTTTTTAAATTATCATAATTTCAACAAACTTTAACGTAGCTTAACAGTTTAAAATAGTTTGGGTTTTCTGTTCTGAAAATGACATCATGAGTACGGTCACAGATAGTAAAAAATCATATCTCACGTAGCCGTGTCAAATCTCTAAAGCCCACCCATAGCTACTTAACATATTATGCGTGAAGAGCAGATGTCCATATTACTAGAAAATTAATATGCTGAATATTTTTTTTACTTTCAACAGGAATAAATACATTTACAGAATAGGGTAAATCTAGAAAATTAATGACTCACACTGTTTTTCACGGTTTTATCACCCTCTACATAGTTACATATTGTCACGAAAAACCACACTGATGCATTTTAAAACATAAAATTCTTTCTAAAATACAAATTGAACAATATCAACAGAGTATATAAATCAATTTCTATCACTATTTACAAAAATAGTTTTCACAGTCGCAAAATTACAGCTAAAGTAACATTCTGTTTCTAACCTTTCTTTTTTAACATGCTAAAGGAAGACGTAACACCAACTGAACAGCCCCCTCCCCATCCTCCCGATTATCACGCATCCTCGCAAATTTATGAACTTCTCCTCTACCCCTCAGGAGTTTGAGGTCATGGATGGACAAATATCTGAAGCACAATATAAATAAAGTGGGAGTGACCTTCCCTAAACTTTCTCAAATATACTTATAAACCTTTAAAAATAGAATAGAATTTTGTAGAAAAAAAAATTGCGTACCATGTGAACGACAAACAATATTTGTATAATAGTACTGAATATGTTATAAATTCATTTTTTTGAGAAATCAGAAAACGCGTAATTTACTACTTCCGGTAAAATTAAATTACTTAAAATTTAACTAAAGGCAGAGAATTGAATATTTTACGTAATTGTGAAATCTCATTTATCTATCATAAGCAGTACTCAAGGTATAGAGTTTTGAAAAAATTGAAAGTAGAAAAAGTTTACTTCCGGGTACCGGAAATCGTTGAAAAATGGTTATAGAACTACACTTTTGATATAATACTTATTTATGAAATTGTATCAACCTAGCTGTAACGGTTTTCAAAAAGGTAGAGATTTGTGAAAATTTCAATTTCGATTTTTAGCACAATTACAATACATCCTCTATACTTCGTATACGAGAAAGTAAAAATGTATTGTCCATATACAAATTCCTTTTTTAATATTTCTTTTTCTTAGAGATGATGCCATCTCTCCGATCAAAACCGACACCTACTCACTGACAAATGTAGCTGCGGCCATACATGGTGGGAGATACACATGCACCTGTACATACCATGGCGCTTCCAGCACCAGTGAACCGTTTATTATCGCTATCACAGGTTAGTCATGTGTCACCTGCTTTGTATTTAATAAATATGTTTTGTTAAATGTCATAGTTACTGGTTTATGTTCCCTTGTCTGATGTATTAAACGTCAAGAAATCAAAAGTGTTCGTCGCTAAAACCTTCTATTATATTCTTATATAACAGTTAGGAGGATGGTACTTCTAGTTTTACAAGCTTTTACTTAGTTCGCAACATCCGTTTTTGGCGAATTTAGTAGTACAATATCGACTCTTTTCTAATGCACCAATTTCATTAAAATTTTCCAGATACCTTTTTCTTTTAGGGCAATGGATTAATATCTATTTTCTAATTTAATTAAATGTTTATTAGACATTAAAATTAATCGGTTTCGAAACAAAGTGGACGTAACAAGATTAAATGCTTACGATCACTAGATAGATTACTGTATTCACTAACACAAGGGGAGATAACTAGCTATACGATATGACCCAACCAATCTGATTCATGCCGAATGTTTACAATTGTAGAGCCGGGTCGAGTTAGTAAAAGTAACTAGAGGCAGATAAAAGAGTTTTTAAACGATTTGAAACTAAAGGGAAGTATGAAGTTTAAGAACTATCCGTCGCTGGGTTAGCTTGCTGTTGCATGTAAACTGGGATAACGGACGGCTGCTTTTACGAGGCAGATAAACTTCTTTAACAGATCGCGAGCTAATATTGAAAGCAATATTTTTAGTTGTGTCGACTAAATAAATTAGGAATCACTAAAAAGTAGAAAATGAAACAAATATGAATAAAAAGGGAGTGATCTGCCCTAAACTTTCTCGAATATTCTTAGATGACATTAATGGATATGGTAACTCTAGTGCAGTCAGGATACAGAGTAATATAGATGTTTTTCAAAAATCAATTTTCAAAAACTTAATTTTGACAAGCTTTTTGTAACAGTTGAATGTAAGGTGAATGCATGTTTAGAGTATGTTTCAGAAAAAGGCGATATGAATCTAAATTATAGTGTGGGTGTGCGCATGCGCTAAAAGAAAAGGGAAGCAAGGGACAGAGAGCGGGAAGAAAAAAATGGCGTTGTTTTTGTAGTGAAGATGATGTACCTATGAATCAATAAAATTATGAAAATTATCAGAACAAGGGTTGTTTGGTGTTACCCATCAGGCTTTAATATGAAGTAACACAACAGTGTTAGTATTTGTCTTGAGGTTAGTATTTGTCTTGAGTTTGTGCCATGAAGTTGGCAGTACAAAAGGGCCGTGACACTTTTATTTAACTTGCTTCCGTGGTCATCAGTCGTAAGTGTGGCTGTCTTCATATATCAAAACGTGCGAGCGAAATTTCGGGCACAATTTCTTTGAGATGCAATATGACAATTAATTGGATTCCTAATTAATTTTTTTATAAATTAATTAAAATTTTCTGACTGTCTCACAACTACTATTCCGCACTATTATTCTCGCATTGTCATGTTCATTAAGTGCGCAGAAGTGTTTAGACATGTAACTCTATTATATCAAAAACATTTAAGTAGGCCTACTGAAAAATGTTTTCATAATTTTTTTCCATAAAAAAACGTTTTAATAAAAAGCTTTTAACTTTTATGTAATAATGTACTAAAAAGTAGAAAATAAATTACACACTACTATTTAAATAACTATAAAGAAAAGCGTGGGTCACTTTAGTATCTATTGGATACCTTTACTAATATTTAGGAAGAGACCCACGCTTTTCTTTATAGTTATTTAAATAGTAGTGTATAATTTATTTTCTACTTTTTAGTGTATCCTATTATATAAAAGCACTGTGTGCACTTCTCTCTCTCTCTCTCTCTCTCTGTCTGTCAGCAAAATATTTTCGCCGGCCATCACATCAGAATCTGCAGTGATATATGAAGATCTTTATACGGACTTTTGTTGAAAATAATATGTTAGATGTTTTAAATGTATAACCACAATTTTATTTAAAGAAGAAAAATAAAAAATACAAAACACGCGAAATATTTTTCAAAAAATGTGAATGGGTCTTTAGGTTCGTAACGTTAAACTATTGTTTTTATTGCATCATCAACACAAACGAAACGGCAGGCACAGTGTTAAGATCACACCTCTCCAATACTATGTGATCATCTAGTGTATTAACTCTTGCTCGACAAGTTCTAACTTCACATTTCCAAATCTCTTTGCCTGCTGCTCCACTTATGGCTTTTATAAACAAATCACCAGAAACTAATATCCTATACCATTTCTGCGAGGTTACGAAAGAGGCCATAGCTGAGTAATCACCACTACTACTGCTTTGTTTTCATGTACACTACGACAAACTTAGCTCCGCGATTACCGCTGTTTGTCGTAAACAAGCATTTGTCACCTGATCACTAAGGTGTGACCCACGCATAACAATGGAATTTAGATGTTAGTTGTATTGTCCATGGAAGTTGGATGTCTTTCTCTTAAGGCATGTCTCTGCCATCTTGATACGAAGGTGTGTCTTTATTGTTATTTCATTCCCTTTGATCAAGTTTCGTCCTCCTGACATGGTAGGATTGTCTTATATTTAGCAAGCTCCCCTACGCTGTCTATCAAAACATTTCTTTAATCTTCACATACTATATTAGTAATCTTAATTTTAAAATTTTTAGTGCAATATGACAAATTTATGCTGCAAACATTTCTTAAAATTATATAGGCATATAAACAATATTAAATATAGTAAACAATACCATACGACAATCAATAAAAAAATGTTCAGATCAACTAAAATCATCCAAAACACTATTCAAATTTTGCTGTGAGATATTTATTTGTCTGAGATATTTTGTTTGAGAACATTTGTCTTTAATATCAATTGTCCTGATGTATTTTCTCCTGGTATCTTTTGTCCGTGAGATCAATTGTCCTTGAGATCATTTGTCCTGAGATCATTTGTCCTGAGATCATTTGTCCGTGAGATATTTTGTCTGAGATAATTTGCCCTGAAATAATTTGTCATGGAACCGACAGCCTACTAATTTGGACAAATTTTAAATAATTCATAAAAATTAATTAGGCAACCAATTAAGTCAAATTTTATGTCATGTTGCATTGTCTTCATGTCTTGACCAACGTACCAAATACGACCCGTATCTGTCAGTTAGAAGTGCAGGACATTTCGCTCCGGCGTTTCGATCTAGACAGACAGACTGACGACAGACTGAAAACAGACTGACGACAGACTGACGACAGAGGAAGTAAGTCAAATAAAAGCTTGTAAAAGTTTTAATAACAGGCTTTTGTAATAATGAAACAAAAAGAAATAAAAATGATTTTCTTTAAAAGCGTGGGTCTCTTCCTAAATATTATTAAAGGTATCCAATAGATAATTTAGTGATCATTTACGTAAATATTATTTTATGTCACAATACATTGTATTCGATTCTCGACCAACGTGAAAAGTTAAATAAAAATAATTAGGTCCGTTAGAAGTGTTTGAAATTTTGCTCACATGTTTCCTTTTGAACTATGATGGACGAAAACAGAGGATGATGACATCAATATTTGATTTTAATTTCTTTTTGTCTAATTTATCGTCTGACCAAGATTAACGTTTGTTAACAATACTTTTTCAAGATGACATGTCATTATAGTTTGACAAAATGCATGGCAAATAAGTTATGTACAAAAATAAATAGGCTTCATATCACACAGACAACTAATCTACTTCCTGGTTGTCTTCTCTTGCATTTAAGGTTATCGTATTAGTGCAGTTGAAAACTAGCTTATTAAATGTAATATAGAACTATAAAACACTCTTTTAAAAGTTTATTTATTGTTTTTTTTTCAGACGGGGCTTCTGATTTGCACTACAGTGTACTGATGATGACTTTCGTATCCCTGGGGTCACTTTTTTTCTAGAACAGTCATACACGCTTCACGTTTTCCTGTGTGTGTTTAATATATATATATATATATATATATATATATATATATATATATATATATATATATATATATATATATATATATATATATATATCGAATGTAAACAATAACAAATGGCGTTTAGTTGAGGTGAACGAGGAAAATTAGACATGACATTTATTTTTTCTTAAATAAAAGTTACGCCGTCAATATAAAAGTTTTTTTTTTGTTTGTAATAGCATATCAAGGAAACAAAATTCCAATAAGCGTAAAGTTCTCCTTTAGTTATCAAAATTAAACTTCGAAGGGTTTTTCAGATTTGTAGCATGTATTTAATTTGTCATTGAGTATTTTGTCGCTGCAGTATAGTGAATATTTATAATTAGTTAAATTATTTTCAAAATGTTGACTGTTCTTACAATTTCAAATCTACACAACGGCATTTTAAGCACATGCGGTAAAATGTTTGGAACTGCCAGTATTTTAATTTAACTGGTGTTATAGTTTTGCATGCTATTGTTACAAGCCCATTTCAAATTATATTTAAACAATTTCAGTTGTATAAACATATACAACCGTATAGTGTTTTTTTCCATATACATTTATACCATATATGTATACAGTGGTAATTATTACATTTTTGCTGTCCATATGACCTGTACGTTATTATCTGCTTTATTAGTAATTGTCTTTAAAGACTAGATATTTTATAAAACAGAGATTTATTTAATATATTCGTACTTTATTTATAAATACGACTTACCAGATTTATTTTGAGGTAATGATTAGAGAAAACGCGTATTTTATACTATTTTCTACAATCCAATGAGATTACAACCATTTAAATACAGACACTCATAGTTACACACAAACACACGTATAAACAAATACGTTTTTAGAGTCTTTTTTGTAATTCTGTAATGATTTAATAAATACTTTTAAAAAAAAAAAGCTGTTTGTCTTTTTCGTCTATTGTTTCGACTCTTTGAAAGGTTATGTGAAAAAAACCCATTGAATCTAATAATTTGCTTAAACAGTAATTCGGGTAAGTACAATCCGGCATACTTGATTTTATGTAATTTTGATGGAATTTTATTCACTACCCTAAAAAATACTTTATGATTTATCTCAGGGCTATGTGACATATACGACAATGAAGTCCGTTATATTTTAAAATATCCCTCCGACTGAGTAGTGTTTGTTATAAGACGCAATACAATATTTTAATATTTTGTAATCATAATGTACATTTCATGGAGTGAACCTTACGAAATTTGCCCCAGAGCTTTCGAAAATTTTCTCATGCGCCTCCACCCACCATATGGGAGTAAAAATTTAGTGCAAAGGTTTCCAAACCTTGTCGGACGATGAACCATTTTTACAAGCTTTTATTTAACTCACTTCCTCTGTCGTCGCCAGTCTGTCTGTCGTCAGTCTAGATAGAAACGCAGGAGTGAAAATTCGGAAACTTCTACTTGACCGATACGATTTACATTTGACACGTGGGTCAAGACATGAAGACAATGCAATCTGAAACTAAATTTGACTTAATTGGATGCCTAATTAATTTTTTATGAATTAATAAAAATTTGGACCGAATTAGTAGGCATGTCTAGCCAACCACACCACACGCGTCATCACCTTCAATAGCTGCGCCATCACGTAATGGCTGCGTTCAAAAACCATTGCGCGCCTACTGAACGTGATGTTCAGTAGGCGCGCAATGGTTTTTAGTCATGTAACTCTATTGTAAATAAAACATGTAAAGTACTGAAATTTTTTTTCATAAAAAACGTTTTAATAACAAGCTTTTATGTAATGATGCACTAAAAAGTAGAAAATAAATTATAGACTACTATTTAAATAACTATAAAGAAAAGTGTGGGTCACTTTAGTATCTATTGGATACCTTTACTAATGTTAAGGAAGACACCCACGCTTTTCTTTATAGTAATTTAAATAGTAGTCTATAATTTATTTTCTACTTTTTAGTGCATCATTACATAAAAGCTTGTTATTAAAACGTTTTTTATGATTTTTTTTTATATAGGTCAAGTGACTAAAATTACCATACAGATTTTTAAAAAAGCGAAAACTTTTGGTTGAGTAATGTTTAACATAAATTCGTTTTAAAAATGTAAGTGTAGCTATTCCATGTTATTACTTGTTTCATATTCAGCGACACGTATATATTAAAGTCCATTGTCACTGTCCACATTTTATTTCCTTCTTTTTTAAATGTAGCGGAGTTAAAGCCACGCTCCAAGAGATAGGGTAGACAATGTAATTAAAACTAGAAAGATAAGCAACGTCACTTTTTGGTTAGAATTATATATATTATTATATATTTATCGGGATTTTGCAAATTCAGTCTCTTATAGTATAGTATTTTGTTCTTTCACCTTAGGGAATTCTATGTTCTCTACTTCGACCTTTGGGTCCGAGCCTAAGACGGCCGCCCCACACGCCCTCACAAAGCTAAGTCTCTGGTAATATAATGAGATAGTATTGTTTTTAACATAAATCCTTTAATTTCGAACGTTTATGATGGCTATCTAATTTTAATTTACTGATCGCTCCAGCGCATGACTCGGCGTCCAAAGATAGGTGCAATTTTGATTTTTAATAGGGATTGCGATTCTCGTTTTCTCTTGCTTTGGAAATAGAAATCTCGTTAGACAGGGAGAGATATAGATTTTCAAACTAAATTAACTGTTGACACCACAAGATTCTGAACAGAATTTCAAAGTAGAATTCTACTACACTATCTTCGATATATATACAGTCTTTGGAAGAGAGGTTCAAAAAATTAGAACAACATACTATTCTAAATGGCTTATAGACAGCTATAAAATACTAGGAAAGAGAATGAGAAGAAATCTGTTATTTAAAATTTAAATATAAAAGGGCCTGTAATGTAAAAAGTGGACATATCATTGTGTGTGTAAAAACTAGATATGAGAAAACGTTAACCAAAGAGAAACGGTTGTTTAATAGCGCTGTAAATATTTGAGATTATGTTACGGTTTGCCAAAGTTTTGAAATAAAAATATTTTTGGTTCTTTTTGTTTATATTTCACAACAATGGCATGGTAAGCCAATTTTTTTAAATGCAAAGATGTACTTCAAAATCAGCGTCAGTAAACTATTTTTCTAAATTAAAAAAAATATATACATACTTTAAATTAAAAAATACATACGAAATATAATCTAAAATATTTTTAAATTAAATTCTTGGTAAACAAATGATTAAAATATAACTCTACTTTGGTTAAATTGATTTGCTGCTAAAGAGCTAATTTTCTATTGTTTTATATTTTTAAAACTTATTCAAGGAATGGCATTAAGCATTTAAACACCAATCCTATGTCTACCTTGAGATAAAGAAGACCAGTTTTTATTTTACTTTAGATTTACTAGATGTAGTTGCATCTCTGCGTATTCCAGATCAACAATATTAGTTTCTGTAGAGGTCCATTGCATCCCATTACAATCATTAAGCTTTGTCCAATCCCCAGTGAGTTTGACATAACTGCAAGCTTTATACCACCAGCCACCTGCACAACTTGCAGCACAGTTATTTTCTGTTCTATCATGGTCTCTATCAAATGTGGAAAAGGGCATGCCATTGTTGTAAGTGAACAGGTCCAGTGGGTTGTCAGTCTTGTTGTTAAAATAAAGCCTATACAAATCTGCTTCGTTGCCCACTTTGAAATCACGGTACACCTTGTAGAGGGATATTCCTTTATATTTTAAGTTACACCTTAGTTCACTGTAGCCCTGCAGAAATATAAAAAATATTTTGAAAATTTGTTTCAATAACTTTTAACCACAATGTAAATAAGACAGTTTACACTATCATGCATTGTGTTATAGCTTTTAACTAACAACTCTTTGATCCCCAATCTGACATTGTCATTTTTTATAAATCCCACTTACATTTCATTCCCTCTAATTTTTTTACTGTTTAAAAATTCGGTGTATAATATAACTTTAATTTTACCTCCAAAACTAGGAAAACAAAAACGAAGTGAAACTGAATACCACACTTTTTTTATTTTTAAAAATTCCTAACTTACCTTTGTCGAATATTTTAAAATAACAATTATGGGTTGGCAGTACATCCCAATACAATGGGGATATAGACGACAGTTTTTAAAAATCTATTTTCAATAATTTAATTAGTTCATTAATACTTTATACAGAAAGACAAAGGAATGAAGTTAAAAATAAATTCATACGCGTTTTTTTTTGAGAAATCGGAAATAGGATAAGGCACTACTTCAGGTAACAGGAAATTATTTAAAGTTTGTCAGAAACCAGATAATTAAATCTCATATGTGTGAATTTTTTTGATCAAACCGAAACAGCACTTAAGTTATAATTTTTTGAAAAACTGAAAGTATAATAAGTTCCACTTCCTGTTACTAGAAATCGCTGAAAACTTGATGCGGTGCTAAAAATATGATATAATACTTATAAGTAACATTTTTTTTTTAAATTTAAAAGTTACTTAAATTGTCAATGGTGTATGTATTGTATTCTCCATACAACTATATAATGGGTAAAACATATGTAAGTTAACTGAAATGTTAACGAACGTTGTGTGTAAGGTAAGAAATCCAGTCATTTCCAATCCAAAAATCGCCATCAAATGATCCAAAGCCAATTTTATAATCCACCCAGCCCCTTGAAAAATTCACACCTCCTTTAACACGCCTCTGAAAATAATTGAACAAAAAAACAACAACAGGGAATCTTAAAATAAATGTAATAATATTTAAATAAAATTTAACACAATGAAAATACATACCAGTATGACAATCGGTTCTCCCGAATCTCTTTTGACGCCACATAAGACAATTTTGTTTCCACTTATTTCAGCAGTCCATTGTTGAACATCAGAGTTACTTCCCGTAACGCACTAGATAAGTTTTAATTCAAACACTAGTATTTTTGTTCAAAACAATTTGAAAATAAGATCGTGTGCATGATGAGGATTAATTCCCTTACAAAATAACCATACAGCATATGTATACACATATTTATTATACATATATATATATATATATATATATATATATATATATATATATATATATATATATATATTATATATATATATATATATATATATATATATATATATATATTCTTGATTGATTCTTTTAATGTTTAAAATTTAGCAGGACAAAAACTTCAGTTTTTTAGCCTTAAATATACATTTCAGAGAATCTAGTAATTTTTCAGGTTCCTAGGGTACCAGAGTTATCTCGTTAACAAAAAAAAAAAAAAAACACGATTATGTTTCTAGTTCTCAAATGTTTATTCTTATTTAAGCAGATTAAAAATCGTATCGATTAATAAGATCACGGTCAGTTGCGGTCAGTTTACTGTCACTTCAGCAGCGATTTTTGAGATCGCTATATTTTCCTCGTTAGATTGAGCTTGAATATCGCTTTAAAAAGAACATTACTTAGTAAACTTTCCAAACAACGCCCAGTTTATTACACTTTACGTAATACTTACACTGAAATGTGTTGGTCTAACAGTAGAAGAGTCCATATTTATAGTTGGGTCTAAGAGAAGATCCAAACTTTTCAGTTTTGGTTTACTTATATCTGGAAAAAAGTTGCTAAAATTGAGGTGTCAATTTCAGTAAAAGTAGCATAAGTTTTTTAACGCTCAACAGCACGTTAGGCACAGCCAAAACTAACACTAAACAACAACCTCACCCCAACCATCTGCGTTTCTTTTAGCCTGACTGTGACTCTGACCCTAACTCTGACCTCAAGCACAACCAACACCACAACCACAACCTCAACCTCAACCTCTACCTAAACCACAACCAAAAACAAAATAACAACCACAACCTCAGCCTTAACCTGAACCGCAAGCTCAAATTCAACCTAATCTTCAAACTAACCTCAACCTCAACCTTTACCTCTACCTCAACTACAACCTCAACCTCAACCTCAACCTCAACCTCAACCTCAACCTCAACCTCAACCTCAACCTCAACCTCAACCTCAACCTCAACCTCAACCTCAACCTCAACCTCAACCTCAACCTCAACATCAACATCAACATCAACATCAACATCAACATCAACATCAACATCAACATCAACATCAACATCAACATCAACATCAACATCAACATCAACATCAACATCAACATCAACATCAACATCAACATCAACATCAACATCAACATCAAACATAACCACATTCTCAACGTCAACCTCTACCACAACCACAACCACGACTACAACTACAACTACAACCACAACCACAACCACAACCTGAACTTCAACCACTACAACATACTCAACCAAAACACAACCACAACCACAACCTCAATCTCAACCTCAACCTCAACCTCAACCTATCCCTAAACCTCAACCTCAAATTCATCCTCAACCTATCCCTAAACCTCAACCTCAACCAAAACCACAACCTCAAGCTTAACCTCAACCTCAATTATAAATACAACCACAAAAGCAACCACAACCACAACCACAACCTCAACGCCAACCTCAAACACAACCTCAATTTCAACCTTAACGACAAAAACAAACACAACTACAAACACAACCACAACCTCACCATCTTAACCTCAACCACAACCACAACCTCAACCACAACCACAACCACAATCACAACCACAACCAAATGCACAACCAAAATCAAAACCACAACCACCTCAACCACAAACACAACATCAACTACAACCACCATCTCAGCCTCAGCCTCAGCCTAAAATACAACCACAACCACAACCTTAACCACAAACACAACCTCCACCTCAACTTTAACCTCAACCACAACCACAACCATAATCTCAACAACAACCTCAACCTCAACCTCAACCACAAACACACATAGCAACACAGCCTCAACCTCAACCACCATCTCAAGCTCAACCACAACCTCAACCACAACCTTAACCACAACCACAACCACACCCACAAATTCATCCTTAACCTCAACCTTAACCAAAACCTCAACCTCAACCTCAACCTCAACCTTAACCTTAACCCCAACTTCAACTTCAACTTCAACTTCAACTTCAACTTCAACTTCAACTTCAACTTCAACTTTAACTTTAACTTCAATAACTTCAACTTCAACCACAACCACAACCACAACCACAACCCCAACCTCAACGCCAACCTCAACGCCAAAATCAACACAACCACAACCACAACCACCATCTCAGCCTCAACCTAAACCTCAACCTTAACCTCAACCTCAAACCCAACCTCTACCTCAACCACAACCACAAACACAACCACGACCACAACACAACCACAAACAGAAACACAAACACAAACACCACCACAACCACAATCACAATCACAATCACAGTCACAACCACAACCTGAACCATCACCACCATCTCAACCTCAACCTCAATTTTAACCTCAACCACAACCACAATCACAACCTCAACCACAACCATAATCACAATCTTAACCTCAACCACAACCACACCACAACCACAACCACAACCATACCTCAACCACAACCACAACCACAACCACAATCACAATCACAACCACAACCAAAATCACAACCAAAAACATAACCACAAACACAAATACAACATTAACCACAACCACCATCTCAACCTCAACTACAACCACAACCACAACCACAACCTTAACCTCAACCTTAATCACAAACACAAACACGACCACGACCACAACCACAACCACAACCACAACCTCGACCTCAACCTCAACCTCAACGTCAAAGTAAAAAGTTTTAAAAAGATACGTTAACAACAAATTAAAGAAGTTTTAATATTTACAATGTCTTACTTTTATCATTTTCTGCTCTGGCACATAGGTAGGGTTGAAAGAAAAGCAAAACAATTGCACACAGCAAACGTGTGAAGTCCATGTTGTTCTCAATCAGCTTGTCAAACTTCAGTAGGTCTAACACTTGGTCTGATAATATTGGGATTAAATTTTTTATAAACCAGTATTTTATTCGTGCAACAGCTTGTGAAGTAAATTTCTGGTTTATCAAATAGGCAATAAGTGTGGGGTTAAATTTAAATTTATGATGAGTATTTTGGTTTATACACAACTTTGATAGTTATGGCTTTTACGTCTCCTGAGTAAGGGGTTTTAGCATATACGTTAAACATGTAGATTTTCAAATATACATTGAGGTATGGTATTTCACATACACCTTGACACTACAAAACTGTGATGGTGACATGAAATGTTATAGCAGATATGTGAGTCGGAACTAAAGTGATCACCTACTCATTGTAATGTATGAAAGTGTGTGTATGAAGAGGACGGAGGGGGGGGGGGGGGCGTCGTGCTCTAAACTTTTAAGTGCCATTTAGAGCTGGATTGACTCATGGAGTTTCTACGGAAGCAAATATTTTTGACGTCATAATTAAATTAAAAACAGGAAATACATTGAAAATAGTCAGTATTATGAGAAAACAAAACAAATAAAAAATGTTTTGCCCTTGAATGTTTCTACTTTTACATAATGCTTATCGTTGTTGATGCTTTTAAGCATTTTTGTCTTAGATTGTTTAGTCTATAAAGTATGTTTAATTTTGGAAAATTTTGCGAACGGTCTAGTTGCTATATAACTCTGAACAGTATTTATGTCTTTAAGGTCAGGGCCATGATCAGGTTGTCCTGTCAACACACTTTGACATTTTCCATTGCATGTTTAGATTTTTAATAGCTATTGACGAGTTGATTTAAGTTATGTATTACCATAAAAAGATTAATTGTTGATAATAATTAATAAAATATTTATTAATTTTAAATTTGAAAAAAAGCTTCTGCTTCTGAAAAACAAGTTAATAAAAAGTCTAGTGACAATTAAGCGCAATTTCCTTAATTAATTTTTTTGTGACCGAACGAAAGGATATTTTTGAAAACTTCCTTCGGCAATATTGCTCTAAATTATGGCAGAAATCGATTGGTAAATGTTTCAAGTCGCTAAGTAGTCTGGTTGCCGAGATATGGGCCAAAAACTGCATTTTTTTGTGGTTTTTTGGCTTTTCCGGGAAATCCAGGAAGGAATTCCGGGAATTTTTTTGGCCCACAATCATCCTCGAAACTTGCTTAACATATTTGCTTTGGAACTAGTCCTCGATATTGCTTCGTTTAGGAGGAGATACGACTTAAAGCTGCGGACACACATACATCCAGAAATAACGAGTTAATAATCGCAATTGCCAGTATGGAAATTGCGCTAAAAATAGAGTTGATGTTATGTAGGAGAAAAGATTAGATTCATTAGACGACATTTTTTCAATATTGTAATTTATATACTGTTAGTAAAGTAAAGCGTATTATGAACTTTATAAAAAATTTTCAGGTATATAATAAGAAGGAGATAGTTTCTGCTCTTTAAAACTTTATGAAGTTAATTGATTAAACTTAAAAACCCGCATTCAAATATAAACTAAGTCTGTAAGACAAGTTTATTAATGTATGAAATAAGCTGACAGTTTGACGATCCAATCTAGTTGTGAACATCACTAGACAACAGATGGATTTTAATATTAGACTTAAAATCATAAACAATTATATTGGAGTTTAACTTAATTTTATGGAATTATAAATGGGCCAACACAGTTGTTTAATTAAAATTCTGGCTTAATTTATTTTCTAATAAGTGTAAGAAAATAAATTCAGCCAGAATTTTAATTTCTATTTAATACTCAAGTCAAGCCTATTCTAATTTTTTTTCTATCGATTTTTGTGAAAAACTGATTGGAGTTATAAAATTGCTAATTCGAGGGTGAATATAAGGATGACGATGTGGATGATAATAAAGATGAGGATAAAGCCGAGCATAAGGGTAAATGTAAAGGTATGAGTAAGTGTAAGGGTAATCGTAAGTGTAAGGGTAAGTATAATGGTAAGGGTAAAGGTAAGGGTAAAGGTAAGGGTAAGTATAAGGGTAAGAGTAAAGTTAAGGGTAAGGGTAATCGTAAGGGTAATGGTAAGTATAAGGGTAAGGGTAATGGTACAGATATAGATAAAAAGATAACGGTAAGGATAAGAATAAGGTTAAGGATTTTAAAAAAATTGATACCAATGTGTTTTTCCCGACAAAGAATCGTATACATGCGGTCCTTACCACGCCCCCTTCGCGACGCCCCCCCCCCCCCCTTCAAATGTCAAGTTCGACCTACCGGCTTAAGTCATGCCCTTCTTTTTAAATCGTAGGAGGATGTTACAGACCAAGTTTTTAAAAAAAAAAACATTGGAATCGCTCGTCTGATAAATGAATAGTGTTTTTTTTGTGTTTATGAGCTAGGAATAATAAAAGGGGAGGCTAACCTAGAAGCTGTCTCGTTTTAGAATTAACACGATTATCTCTCTTACTGTCGCTGTCTTTCCCTGTCTACGGACATTCTCTGTTACATTAGAATCAAACGTCTGTGGAGCCTCTTAAGCCGGGTGTAGAATGACCCGCCAAATCGGTTAGAAAAACAAATAAATTTAAAAGCTCATTTTAAAATGAAATATTGAATTTTACACATTCAAAGTTAAGAAAATAAACGGATACAAAGCATTCGATCATATTCATTTAACTGTTTTCTACCTTGATTTAAGTAAAAGTCAGTAACAAAAAACCGTTTACCAACTTTTTCAAAGATTGGGGTGCGCATTTTTTTTTTTGCTAAAAAGAATTTATACTGGAATGGTGAGTGGGTTAATCTTTCAACGTTTAATCAACTATATTAAAGTATAAAATACGATTTTGCCCGCATGTGTTGTTAAGAAATGACGCTACTTTAAATGTTACGTTTGTCTCAACTGCATGGAGAGATTAGGGTCTTTTATTTAATGGTATTAAAGAGAGGTAATACACGGACCAGTAATATGGCATGCGGTCGGAGCGGGTGTGGTGGAAGGCGATAATATATGGCTAAAGTTTTAGAGCTGAGACAAAGAGTTATGATCAGTCCATTTTATTTTTTAAATTGCTTCTATAAACCTTAAACTATAAAATTAATAAAAATGTACCGTAGAAATGGGTTCTTTATTGCTTATTTCTATTTGTTCGTCTGTCTGTCTGTCTGTCTGTCTGTCTGTCTGTCTGTCTGTCTGTCTGTCTGTCTGTCTGTCTGTCGGGTATGTCGGGTCTGTCTGGTCTGTCTGATCAATGTAGATGCGTTGACTACACACCTTGCCACCATCTGTATTGCAGTAATTGCCAAAAATACTGAGTTTTGGCCAGAGAGTGTACAACTTTGTGTGATAGATCTATATACAGATCTATCAGAGCGTGACCGTAACTAGACAACCAGGTTACGTTGTGTCACATGTATGTCGGAACGATAGAGTGCTAGTTACGGCTGACTGGTCATGCTCTACTTTGGTACAGTAAATTTTATATTTAAACCATAACAATAGGTTATAGATTTTGGTGTTGTGACAATTATTATACTAATATATTTTAGAATTTAACCTGAATTTGGACAAGCCGAACTTCGGTCTCGAAAGGTTTGTCGCTTGGTTAATAACACGTTAGACTTGCAGCAATGTGCTGGTTATTTGGCTTTAAAATTTGTAAGCCAATATGTTAATGCTTGGCTGAACCATTTTTTTCTTATATTTATTTTACATTCCCCAGTCAGCCCTGTGTATTTAAGTTATTACAATATATGCTTGTTACGGACTGAATATTCGGTTTTTAGGGAGGAATAAATGTATGTGTTACAACTGTTACACATTTCATTAAATGCAATTGTTTAAAAAAAAAAACAACCTTGTAATTGTAACTCCCTATCACTCTCATATAAATTATAAATAAATTAATAGGGTACAAAAATAACGTTTGAATTAATAAGTTAAAAAAAAAGACAACTATATTAACCTATATCAACGGAAATAGTTTTATTTTAACGAGTAGGCCTACAAGATGCTCAGTTTAAAATATCATTCTAGGCCTACACGATGCTCAGTTTAAATAATTAACAAATTTTTTTGTGACCGAACGAAAGGATATTTTTGAAAACTTTCTTCGGCAATATTGTTCTAAATTATGGCAGGAATCGATTGGTAAATGTTTCAAGTCGCTAAGTGGTCGGGTTGCCGAGATATGGAGCAAAAACTGCATTTGTTCGAGGTTTTTTGGCTTTTCAGGGAAATCCAGAAAGGAATTCCGGGTATTTTTTTGGCCTATGTTCATCCTCGGAACTTGCTTAACATATTTGCTTTGGAACTAGTCCTCGATATTGTTTCGTTGAGGAGGAGATACGACTTAAAGGCTGCGGACACATAATTTAGAACAATATTGCCGAAGAAAGTTTTCAAAAATATCCTTTCGTTCGGTCACAATTTTTTTTTTGAATTAATTAAAATTTGGGCCGAATTAGTAGGCATGTTTTTCCAACCACACCACACGCGTCATCACGTTCAATAGCTGCGCCATCACGTTCAATGGCTGCGACATCACGTTCAGTAGCTAGGCGCGCAATGGTTTTTAGTCATGTTACTCTATTGTAAATAAAACATGTAAAATACTGAAAAAAAAAATTAATAAAAAACGTTTTAATAACTAACCAATGGTTTTACTAACCCTGCTCTTGATTTACGCTACGACAGAGCTATTTTTAGATAACATAAGGAAATTGCGCTAAAATTGTCACTAGACTTTTTTTAATTACTTGTTTCCAATGAATGCGTAATTTTTTTTCACCGTGTGACCATCCTTGACCTATATTTGTTAGACAAATGACGATTTTTAGCCTGAGGGGGTTTGTATTCTTTGATGTACACTTCTTTTTTTTGAATGACGAAACTTTTTTTTAATTGGACCGACTTATTTCGGTGTGCGCTGGGCTAAGAGTACAACACAGAGGGTGTCTTTACAAATCCGTTTGCTACAAGTGGTCCTACAGACGCGCTCAGTGATCCGCATCATGTGTTTCTTCCAGACTTTTTTCTTCGG